GGCGTATGACTATTGTCATTAGTCATACGCCACCTTGAACCACTTGCAGATTAATGTGAGTGGCTTTTAATGTATCAGGGATTCCTACCCTCGTATGCCTCCATTTACCTTTTTCACCAGCCAACTTCCTTGGCCAATGTACGCGAGCCCAAATGCCCGTCTGACTGCCTATTCGAAGATAGAAAAATGGCCATAAATATTCCATGGCTGTAATGTGTGGCACATCAAATGTCAAAAGTTTAATTTACAGAGTTTTGTGGCAAATATGCAATTGAAAGCAGGAAGTGTGTGTTAAGAATGGATTTTGGGCGAAAAGTGAGCCAAATGTTCCAATGTTTTTTTGACTTTTATTTCGCATGTAGCCGGATAGGTGGATGGCTGGCTGAGTGGTTGCCTTGCTGGCCCATAACACTTGGTGTGTGTGTGTGGCATATGCACGTTGAAAGCATAAGCTAAACAGGCCATATATATTATTTAAGCATCCTAAGGAGATTTGAAGTTTCCAATCCAATTAAGGTGTTCCATAACTTTTAGATATTCGCTGGAAAACCACCACCACTAACGTTTGGTTGGCTGATGGGATGCTGGGTTGGCTGCTACATTTGCTTTACACTTTCCGAATTTATGGCAAAGTACATAATTTTTGGGAAAAAAGACTTGCAGTAGTTTTGTGTTCAAGGCAAGTCCAGTGTTCAAGCCTTTAGGCATAAATGCTTGTGTTTTACAAAATTTCCAATTTTTAGGTGGATTTTATTATGACTGGCCTTTATCTTCCCCTTCCCCCCATACCTTCCGTCATTAATGGCCAAAATCCCTTTCATTTGAAATTTGATTGCCTTCCAGCTCATTTATGGAACAAAATTGGGCTATTGCAAAGTTCATTCATCTTTTAGCCGAATTACCCCGAAAAAATAAACAGAAAAAAATAACCATAAATTCCGTCATAGACAGCCAAGGCAAGCAGTCAGCCAGCCAGCCATCCAGCCAACTTGGTACATTAATATGGCCATAAAACTGGCCTAGCATACTTTTTCTTTGCATTCAATAAAATAAATTATGCCTTGGAATTATTCGAATAAATATGTTATCATGTCTCAATACCCCAGAGACAGAGGAGGAGAGGAAAGAAGAGTGAACGAGAGAGGTATGCTGGCGAAGATTACCAATTATTCTTGGAATAGAAATACATCAAGTTTCTATTACTTGGAATAGTAAATCTCAAGTTGTTTACTTTGCCATAAAACCATTACTCAAGTCAATATATCTAATGAATAGAGATGATCATTAGCCATTCCGGACAGCCGGACTGCCTCCCTGCCAATTTTTCTTTTCTGGGGGAGCGTATAAGTAATATATCATTCATACGCTACAGTGGACCTATCATGACTTAACTCAAACCCAATTTATCACGTATGGCTAATACATTATGCATACGTCACCAGGGACAGTGGAGGGGAGATTTTAGTATTTTTTATAGGAACAAAGGAACCTGGGTGCAGAGAATTTTTTTCTACAAAAAGTCGGTACCAGGGGGCATAGGAAGTTTTCTGTACATTTTTTATACACAAAGATAGTCCCTAGGGTTAAAGGATTTTTTATATCACTTCTATGGAGATTAATATTTTTATTTAGAAAAATCTGACCTCTGGAAAAAACTGATTTCTCTTAGGACTGTAATTTTCTTCTACAGGAAAAAACAGTTCCCTGGGCAAAGATAATTTTTTCTGTAGAAAAAATTTGCATTGTTGCTACTGAAGCGTTTTCCATACAAAAATAATCTGAAAGATTTTCCATTGAAAAAAAATCTATAAAAAATCAGTCTCCTTGAGATTGCAGATTTTCTTTCTACAGAAAAAACAGACTTCTTAAGAAAATGTCTACAGGGTGAAATGAAAAAACTGCAACCAACTTCAGGCATTTCTAAGCCACTCGTCCGACAGCTGATCTTGATCGAAACTCGCATCGCAGTAGTCGGAAAATGTCTCGTGAGTTGAATATATCGCCATATTCCATTCGGCAAATATTGAAAAATTAAATCGTGTAAAACCATCGAAATTCCAAAAATTGCAAGAACTTACACCGCAAAAGAAAGAAAATACAAAATGAGATGAAAAAACTGCAACCAACTTCCGACTGCTGTCATTTCTAAGCCACTCTTCCGACAGCTGTTAAAAATATTCCAGTGACAGCTCATTACATTGTTTACAAGCGTACAGAAAGCATTTTGGTGAGAATTTTACAGAAAAAAAGTTATTCGCGATGGAATTCGAGCGTGATAGTGTGATTTCTTTATATTTGGATGGAGAACCTCAAGTGGCTATCGTTAGAGCACTCCAGGATTTAAATGTGAATAAATCTTTCTGGGTCTCGTACCATCGCTCGTTACCGTGAGCTCATTACTGGTAGCGTAGCCCGAAGGTCAAGGAAGTGGACGAAAGAAAATAGCAACATCAGCAGAAATGGTGCGAAACCCGCGTCGCAGTGGCCGAAAAAAAATGGCTCGTGAGCTGAACTCATCGCAATATTCCATTCGGCAAATATTGAAAAATGAGCTCGGGGTAAAGACATTGAAATTCCAAAAAGTGCAAGAACTTACACCGCAACAAAAAAGAAAGAAAATAGACTCAAAAGAGCTAAAGAGTTGTTTCGATTGGCCGAAAGTGGTGAACTGCCGAATATGGTTTTCTCCGATGAGAAAACATTCGTTCTCCAGCAGTTTGTAAACAAACAAAATAATCGTGATCGTGATGATCACCAAAAAGGTCAGCTGAAATTGTACAGCTTCGGTTGGCCAACAGAACTCAAGCGCCGGCCATGGTGATGATGTGGGCTGCCATAACAGCCGATGGTCGCTCTCCGCTCGTATTAATCGATCATGGCATCAGAATAAATGCCGAATATTATGGCGAAAATATTCTGGAGGGTGTATTAAAGCCTTGGAAATTTTGGCCGCAGACCTTGGACATTCCAAGAGCACTCAGCACGCGTCACCCAAGAATGGTTACAAAATGAGGTTTCTCGCTTCATTTCCAGCGCACAATGGCCACCAAAATCCCCGGATACCAATCCGTTGGACTATTGTGTCTGGAGTACTTTGGAAAGCAAGGTTGCCACAAAAAACACCAAAGAGTCGGTCACCTCAAGCTAGCACTTCGCCAGGAATTGGCCAAAATACCGAACATAGCAACATTCGGACAGCGTGTGACGGTTTCATTGGCCGTTTGAAGGCCATAATACTTGCAAAAGATGACCAATTCGAACAAATCTAAACTTATTCTAAAAGTTGATGCTATTTCCGACATTTCTTGCTTTCATTCAATTAAATTTAAAAAAAAATGCCGTCTGTCCGCGTGTCTGTTGTAATCACGCTATCCTTCGAACGAATTGAGATAGAAGGCTAAAATTTTGCACACGTGTTTATTTTTCCAGTATGCAGGTTAAGTTCGTAAATGGGCCACGTTTTCATATAGCCCCCATATAAAGGTACCTCCCGATATTCGGTATTTTGATGATTTTAGCGACATTATTAACCGGAATTGTTTCAAATTTGGTATTTGAGATTCGTAATGGATACTACAGCCTATGACAGAAAATTGTCTGTGCAGGTCCATGTATTTGTATAGCTCCCATATAACTGTACCTCCCAAAATTCGGTATTTTGATGATTTTAGCGTCATTATTCACCGGAATTGTTTCAAAAACCTATTTAGAGTTCCTAATGGGAACTACAGTCTGCGACAGAAAAATGTCTATGCAAGTCCGGGTCTTCGTATAAGCCCCAAATATCAGTACCTACCCTTATATTCGGTATTTTGACGAGTTTAGGTACAATACCCACCGAAATTGTTTGAGATATCGTATTTGACGTTAGTAATGGATGCTATAGCCTTTGACAGAAAATTGTCTATGCTGGTCCAGGTCTTCGCACAGCTCCGATATAACGGTACCTCCCTATATACGATATTTTGATGATTTTAGCTACATTATTCAGCGTTTATTTCAAGTTTCGAATTTGAATATGGTAATGGCTTATGACAAACAATGCCTATGTAAGTCCATGTCGTATAGACCCCAATATAACGGCTATATTCGGTATTTTTAACATTTAACAGAATTTTTTAAGGATTTCATTTTTTTTTTTTTAATTTCCAAATTCGTTTCAAATGGTGGAGGGTATTCAAAGTTCGGCCCGTCTTTCTTTTTTGAAAATGGCAAACTCTTCTCAATGCTAAAGTTTCTTGCTATCAGAGTTCCTTATGGCGTATGTCTAGTGTTATCAATCATACGCACCCAATAACCTTATTTAGATTTTTAAGATTTTCCGCCCCTGATGGCTGGTAATAGCTATTTAGAGACATTTCATACATCTGGGGATTTTTTTCATCAGTCACCTTGCTCTACGTGAGTGGTTTACAGAAATTCGTGAAAATGTCGATATCCCAAAATTTTGACTTTCCATAGAAAAAATAAAACCAATGAGTTTATAGCAGAATGAATGATGCAGAATCGCATAGGCCATTGCCAGAACGACATAGAACAAGAATATGGCCTCTGGTGCGAAAGCTTTTGTTTTGCCGTAAAAATTATCGATGTGGTTAATGACTGGCTTCTGTTAGTCTTAAACACCGTTGGAGAATGCGGAAGAAATGTAATACCTTTTCAAAAATTTCCTTTAAAATCATTGCCCTAAACCTTTCTCATTTCTTTTTTTTCACTATCTTAGAAAATCGAACTGTTTACTTGGGTCCCACCATTGTATCGTTTCATTGTCTCTTCGGGCTAGGCTTTACCGGCATTCCATGAAATACAAAAATAAATACAAAAAACTAGCCTTTAGCTTTGAAATTTAATTAAAAACCAACCATCTGTAGCGCAGCAGCACACACACACTCACATAACCCGCATACAACTTGTGGAAGTGTCCTTTAGTAAAATAAAAAAGAACTCAAAATAAATAAAATAAAATGCAAATTAAAGCTAAAAGTAAAATGGCAACTTACCCAAAGGTGGTTGGTTCTGGCAAATCAAAGCGGATATTAGGTTGCAGCAATAATAGGTTCGGGGCAACACTTGTAGTCTTAGAACTTGGGTTGATATCCTTTTTCGCTCGGTTTGTTTGTTTTGTGTTTTTGTTATTTTTTGTTATTTTCTACTTTTGTTGCCAGTCACAAAATTCACAAAACTTTTGTAGATCCAAGCAAAAAAAACCGAAAAAATCAAACTAAAAACTGTTGTTTTTGGGCCAGGTGCTTTTCAAGGGATATGAAGTAAAGGGGTATACGGCGTGATGGCAACAAACAGTCCGTAAAACCATCCATGACAGAGGAAACATAATTAACTTTGCGTTTTTTCTGTTCCAAAAGAAACTTTTCACTTGGCGTTTTTTTTTTTTTTTTTTTTGTTACGTTTTTCTGGTTACTTTCTACAATTACACAGCATTTGGCAGCGTTTTTGTTTCATTTTTTATTTTTTCTTGGAAACACCTCAAAAGAGCTCAGGATTTTAAACCTTATTTGGTCAATTCATGCCATGTACCACACACACAAACACACGCGCGCACTCACGTCAAAAAAATTAAGTTAATGCCCCTTTACCTTTGGTTGTGATTTGTTTTGCAGGGCTTTGATTTTTTTCCTCTCACTCTCTCCCTCTCTCAATGGTTTCTTTATTTTTTCTAAGAATTTTTTTTGGTTAATTTTCACACAAATTTAATTTGACTAGTTTTGATTTGATGTATTTTTCCTTAGACATTTTTCTGTATTTCATAGAATTTTTTTTCTTTCACTTTGCTTTTTTCTTCTCTTTTGAAAAATGAAAAACAACAACGTATTGCCTTCTTTTTCAAGTAGATATTTTCTTGGTTTTTATTTTTGCCCAACTTTGGGCCTTCTTCATTCGTTCGTTTGGTGCCGTTTAATTTGGTGTTGAATCCTTCGATTGTCTCATAATTGAAATCAATTCTGTTTGTATCTGGTTTTCCTTTGGGGTGGTGTCACATAAAAACCACTCACTCACTATTGTTACAGCAAGTTAAACTCACACACGGACGCACGCACGCACGAACACAATCATGCCAGTGCATGGAGAAAAACACGGGCAACAACAAAATACATTGTTACAGTAGCCGTAGCCGTAGCAGCAGCCGAGACATTCAAGAGCAACATCCTCTATTTGGGCGAATAGGTGGTCAAAAAGGACATTACGGATATGGATAAACAAATAACTTTTTCCAAATCTCTTTCATTGACTGACATTTCAGAGGCTCAACAAGAAGACAGACTCCTCATAATTTGTTTACACAAACACTCTCACTTGTCACATTTATTATTTAACTCGTCTAAATTACCGTTATGTGGAAAGCAGTATATTTTTCTGAAGTTTTACACACACATGTTGTTGTTGCTTTTTTAACCTGTCTTCCATTCCTTAATGCTTCTTCTTGTTGTTTTGTTTGTTTCTTTCTTTTTTTAGTTGTTTCTGACACATCCACTAACCGCACATTCCGTATAACAGTTTCCGTTTGTTTGTTTGGTCCAGCAGAGATGAATGAAAGTATACGACTAAAAGCAAATCTGTCTGGATGCGAATATACAGCAGCATCTTGTGTATCGGCATGCAAGGATGTTAACGGGTATTCGTGTATGGGAGTGTGTGTGTCGTCAAACAAGAAAACTTTGCATGTCATATGAGAACGAGAGCCGCCACAATTCATGAAATTGAAGAAACTCGGAGAAAAAATGTTAACAACGGAGAGAGCGACTCTCTTTTCCAAAAGAGTGGATAGCGGTCACATTTTTCCACTCTACAACACACAGCAAAAAACAGGCGGGAGACTTTTAATGTAAACAAAGGGAAAAACAGCTTTGACATTTCGATGATTGGCATTTGAATGGGGGATGAAGATGGGATAATGCTATCATACCAGCTACCGAAGTTTTATGACAATTATTTCAATTGAGTTAATGAGAGGAGGAAAGGAAGAAATTAAGTATGTTACACTCTCCCCTTTACATTTTTCTTCAAAATCTTTGTTTCTTTCAACCAAAATAACGGATTTTTAGTTTGTCCTTTGTAGATTAATAGAGGTAACTAGCCATACATCAAATCGAAGATGGAATAACGTTATCATATTATCTACCGAAAATGTTCATGAAAATTGTGTTAATTGAATTACAAAGAGGAGACAAGGTAGAAATTAAACATTTTACACTCTCCCATTCCATTTTTCTTCAACATCATTTATTTCTTTCTGCCAAAATAACGGATTTTTAGTTTTTTTTTTGGTAAGAGGTAGCTAGCCATACATCAAATCGACTGTAGTGACAACTGTCTTAATAATAATTTATTGGATTTTATGGAGAATTATTATTATTTTCTAAGATAAATGAACATCGAACATACAAATGTCCTCAAATGTCCCCGTGCACATTTTTCACTCAGGTATCTTTCGGGAGGTAGGTTTAAAGAATATTATTATCTATTAATGTAATGTACTCCAAATTAAAATTTAATATAAAAATGCCATAGCATGTTCACATGGGCATACGTTTTACATTCTAACTTTAATGCTACGTTTATGTTAGCGCTTTTTTTAGGATTAACTCACTTTCAGAGGATTTATTTGACATATAGGCAATGGATATGACAATTTTAATCCAAATCCGGTGGGTTAACCCGTTAATATGTAAACGTACTGTAATTCTTATTCCATTGACAGATGTTTCATAAAATATATTAATTTTATTGGCAGCTTAAAATTCTTATTTGAATAGACAATAATCCAAAAGTTTGACATACCAATGTTCTACCTGCACTGTTCTACCATGACATAAACGCTGTACACACATAACAAATCCAGTGGATTTTAACTGTCAATAGTGTATACGTCACATGGTAGAAGAATATAGGTGGATGCATCAACGCTTGGGAACATTGATATGTCAAAATTTTTTAAGTGCTTTGTCAAAAATAAGTCGATTTTTTATGATTTCTTATACGACGCCAATCGTAGGTTGTAAAGATATGTATTTTTCAAATTTTTTTACAAATTTCAACAATTTTTCATTCATGGTTTTCAATATCAAAATCTGTTTGACAGTTCATTGTACCAGCAGCTGTGTCGATGCGACTACCTGTATTCTTCCACCATGATACGTCAAATGAGAATGACTATATTCAAATGACGATTTCATTTGACGTTTACGCAATGGGGTTACTATTGAAATACCCAATAGTTCCTCTTTTTTTTTCAATATTACTTAAAATGAATTCTTGAATTATTTTTTTTATTCAAAAATATCTAATGAACCATATCTCTTGTTGCAGTTGTTTTAAGCCCCCTATAGTTACAATTTCCTCTAACTTGCCCTACCATGTCTTAATTTCACCATGCTTGTGTCTAATTTCTCTTTATTTTTTATAATGCGGGGATCAGTAGCTCTATGTCGCATTGAATGGACCGCTTTTATATTTGGTGTGATGGGAAAATGTAAACAAAGCGGCTGTTGATAACAATTCTTGTTATTTCTTTTTCTTCTTTGTGTTGTATTTGCAAATCAAGAAATTGAAGCAAAGCGCTGACTGTGTCATGAACTTATGTACTGCAAATAATGTAAACGTATTCCCCCTTTGTTCATTCCATGGTGCCATGGTTCATTCAGTGAACACATTCGTTCTTTCTTTTTTTCCTTCCTTCATACGCAAAGAGGGACCATCTCGATCTAAGGAACACTAATGTTTTGTTTTTTTTTTTGGTGTGCATGTTACTGTTGGCTTTTCTGTTTTGATTCTACGGCTTTATTCAGATTTCTTTCTGTGTCAACTTTTCTTTTAGTGTTGCCATAAGGCAATTTCTTCATTTCTTTTCTTTACCAGGAAGCATCGGTGGGTAAATTATTAAAATTTAATATTTTATGTATATTTAGTATAAAATTTATAATTTATTTTATAAAAATATGAATATACGTATGATACATGAGTATGTGTGATTGTGCGTGCTCAAAAATATGAAAAATAAGCTCGAACATGAACTTAACCTGTAGCGCTTTGTTTGTGTGTGTGTGACAAATGGTGAAAACACCGCACTGAAGGCGACACCTGTTATGTGTGAGATGTAAAAGGGATATTTTTTGATAATATAAGTTGTGTTCCAGAACCTACAAATTAGTACTAATTAGTACTAATTCTGCTACAACGCGTTCCCGTACTGCAAAAACTAGCAAAACTTGCAGCTCTCTCGAGAAAAAAATGGCGCTGAGTGGTGCACATTTCTGCTTGTTTTAGCTACATGAATTTGGCCGAGCAGAAATGTGCAAATTGTGAATTTGACATTTAATAGGTAGGGCTAACAAGGTTGAAAAATGTATTGATACATTTCAATGTTCCCGCGTCATAACAAAAATAAAGAAATGATCAACTTAAAAACTGAAGGAAAAACTAATATTCGTAGTGCAAAAAAAAAAAAAAAGGAAATATGGAGCACTTTTGGATGATTCCAGTAGTGAAGAGGACTGGCTGAATGATGAATCAGATTATTAATTATTATTATAGATTATTAATTTTAACGTATCGTCTTCAATACTAATTTTTTTAAATTTTGGCGTCCGTTTCAGTAAGGTTTCACCAGTCCAATTTGGACTGTTTACTCTTGGAATTTTGAATTTTGACATTTTATCGCATTTCTGCTAATTTTCCGTTCCCTTATTTTTTGAGCACACCTAATTGAGAATGACATTTCGAACTGTTCTCTCTTCTGCTAGTTTTACTACTAAAAAAGTACTGGAACACAACTATACTTACAAGTGGTAAACGCTTTTCGGGAACACAAATTGTTTACATTTTTTTTTTATTGTTGCCATCCCTAATAGAACATAACGTAAAAGAAAACATCAAACGTTTTGTTTTGTTTACATTCTAAAAATACAAATTCTTCTTGTTTTCTTCTCACCGTGAGTTTATTTTTAATTGTTAGCACTTAAACGCTAAGAGAAACATAAAGCGCACACGAAACGAAGACGCCAGGCAGCCATCCACGGCAGGTAATGTTATGATAGACAATCAGTCAGTTTCTTTTAATTGACTGCCAGAAAAGCAAGCTACACAGCACCAAGGAAGAAGCAAGCATATAATTGCAAATTGTGGTCTCATTGCCAAATAATAAAAAAAGAATATTAATACCAAAAAAATCTATTTACAATGCCTTCGAATAGGAGAATATTTGCACCGCACCTGATACGTTCACTAGAATCGTTGAACATCAGCAATTACCCGGCCAAGGATTACAAGAAGGATGTAATGAAAATGAAACCAAATAAGGCCATTAAGCGAGGCGATCGTATACTCACGGAAAAGCCATTTGCCTATGTGCTGAAATCACAATTTCGCAAGGAAAGATGTGACAATTGTTTGAGCAGGTGAGGAATGTTTTTTACATATATCAAAATCAAATAAAAATAATTACCTTTTCTTGTTTCATAAACAGCACCAAGGTTATGAAATGCTCAAATTGCCATTACGTATACTATTGCAATCGTGCCTGCCAAATGGAGGCATGGCCATTGCACAAAATCGAATGTCCATTCCTAAAACGCATTTATCCACGTACCGTACCAGATGCTGCCCGCATACTGTGCCGTATAATTATTAAACTGAACAATGGCGGTGATATGGAAAAGGGTTATTACACAGAGACTTGTTTTAGAAAGTTCCGTGATCTAATGTCTCGTAAGAAATAGGCAATTTGTGTTCAACAATTTTGGAAATAAATAACCCCTTTTGTCTTTTTTTTAGATTATCAAGAAATTAAACATGATCCTCGTCGTTTGGAACATTTAGAAAGTTTGCATGCTATACTCAGTGAAATGATGCAGGACAGTGCCATTGTGCCCAACGAAGCTGAACTGTTGACAATTTACGGCCGGGTATGTTGTAAAAATAAACCCCCAAATTCGATATCAATGACACACAATTTTCAGTCTAGAAAAATCTGGTTGCACACGTTAGCCATCTTCCAATCATATTTTGGTTATAAATATTGCCTGCTTTTCTCTTGTTGTTGTTGTTGATAGCATTGCGTTGTGTTTTACGTTTAAAATTGTTAATGTTTTTTATATTTTTTCTTGTTTGCTTTTTGGGCATTTTGCCAGAAAAGGAAGCATCCACAACACACTTTCGTTTTCTAATTTATAAACATAGAAAACATCAGCAACAACAAAAAAAACTTGTAATGTTAAAAGTCGAGCCCCCTACTGCTGACTTTTTGCATAGCAAAGCGGCGCTAAGCTATTTTTTTTTTTTCGTTTTTTTATTGTGTAAACAACTTGTAGTAATGCTAATGATCATATGTATTTTGTCCACCACATGCAGTTAATTACAAATGGATTCAATATACTCGATGCTGAAATGAATTCAATTGCAACGGCCATTTTTTTGGGTGTTTCCGTCACCGATCACAGCTGCAAACCGAATGCGGTGGCCACATTTGAAGGAACTACACTGCATATACAGGCCATAGAGGATATTGAGTGTCTGGATTGGTCAAAGGTATGTTGAATGTTAAGAAATATAAACAGAATAACAACTATATGTATTTATTTTTTAGATTTTCATTAGCTACATTGATTTACTCAACACCCCCGAGCAAAGGCGCAAAGATTTAAAAGACAATTACTATTTCCTGTGTATCTGTAGTAAATGTATTGATAGCCAAGAGTCATTAGAAATGGAATCAGCTTGCTGTCCCAATCGAAAATGCAAAGCCTGTGTTGATGTGAAACTAACAAACTGTTCAGCTTGTGGCACTGGCATAAGTCCAAGGCACAGAAATGGTTTTAATGAAGTCATGGAATTGACTAAACTTCAGTTGGGCAGCATGAAAGAAGTTGCATGTAGGTTTCCCACAATGGTGACCTTTATTGTGGTATATTTCATACTTTTTTCTTTACAGATTTGGATGTATGCAAAGTATTGCTAAACAAACAGGAGGAATTTATGCACCCCCTAAATGTTTGGTACATCAAAACTCTGGATGCTGCCTTTGAAGCTGCCATAGATGTTGGAAAGTGGCCAGAAGCCATGAATTACGGCAAAAAATTATTGCCAGGATTCCGGTATTTTAAACAAGAAGATAATACAATCTGTAATGAAAATAATCATTCCTAAAAATTTTTCAGCAAATACCATGGTGACTGGAATCCCCTGTTGGGTCTTCTGTACTTGAAATTAGCCAAAATACAACATCATGAATCATATCTCAAGGAATGCATAGAAAATTTCCAAGAAGCCCGCAAAATTTTGGAAGTAACACATGGCAGAGATCATTCTCTGATACAAAATCAACTCAAGCCTTTATTGTTGCAAGCCATTGCTGAAAGCACTGCTTAGATATAAGTTTATGTTAAGTGTTATATACAAACTTAGGTTAGGTATTTATTTAATAAATTCTTTTTAGTGCCAAAGCTCTTCTTTCCGTATCGGGATGTAGGCTTCTTATCAAGCCAATAATTTCATCAGCCTTAAAATATTCTGTATATTTACCTATGGACCACATTTCACTGATTTCAGTCAAGGAGGCTTTCAGCGTTTCTTTTAAAAGCAACATACGCTGCCAACTTACCACCGTTTTAAGCTCTTGACCCACCTACAATTTTGAAAAGAAATATTAATATACTTGGTTTTCAATTGTGATTATTGTTAATTACCTTAAACAAGGAACCAGCCTCTTTTTGAAACAATTCAAATATTTCCAACATAATCTTCGCCTCCGATGGTGTAATGATTTCTTTGGCCACTACTTGTTGGTTCAACATGAGCGAACAAACACTTATTAGCTCTCCCATGGTTTTGTTGTACTCCTTGACGGGAAGCACTGGCTGCCACAGACTCTCTAGCAAACGCAAATGTGACAAACATTCATGGACCATTGTTGGTGTTATATAACCTTCATTTGTTTGCAATATATTCTGCAGCACATTCAATTGTTTATCGATCTGCTGTCTTAGATACTTGGTTCCAGTGGCCGAGAGGTTCTTAATCATATTCGAAACAGTAGGTATACCATAATTCTTGGCCAAAAAATGATGAAGGAACATGCAATTATTGTAGAAAATCGTTGATTGTTGGGGCAAAGTTTCCAAATGTTCCTTGTGGTATTGAGGAACCAGAGTTACATAGGAATTGATTAAAATCGATATGATGTTGAAAAATCTTCCCTCTTCATAAGAGGATTCATTATCTTGGCGGAGAATGCGGTTTAAGAGTTTTACAAACTCCTGAAAAACATAATATTATTCAAAATTACCAGCCATAAAAAGAAAGTTACTTACCAAAACGCTTTTTGAAACCATGCACCGTGGAAACAAGAAAGGATTATTGGCCACATCTTCGGGTGTGTTTTTCTCAGCCATAACCGTTATATCCTGCAAGTCTTTCTGCATTAATTCTCTTCCTGTTTCCATAATACGGCGAAATACACGATTCTGATACAATGTGTTAAAGTTGTGTGTAAATTTGCTTAGTTGGTTGCTGACATCACGATTGATGAAAAACAATTCAGCAAGATATTTTTCAAATTGTAAAATATCTTCAATTATAGATGGCTTGGATTCGTTGTCCAAAGTATCGGGTATGGCATCCATGAGACATTCATCGATTAGCATTTGGAGAAATCTTTGGGAAATATGTTCTCCAATGACGCTGAATACATGCTGCTCCTCAGAAACAGATATATTCAAATTGTCCATGCAATGAAACAACAGTTTTATATTTTCAAAGACCTGCTTGTAATCTGATTTGGAGCCACCAGAGTTGTTGTTAACAGAGTAGGACAATTGGAACTTTTGATAATCGTCACTGTCATCCGAAAACGAAACATTCACAGGTTTGGTAATAATGGGTGACAAACATTTGTCCATCAGAAAATCACATAATTCCGTCACATCATATTTAGCCTACAACAAAATGTTATTAATCTAGGTTTTATGCTACACTCACAACGAAATGAACTACCTACCTGGAACAGAGCCAACACTGTGTCCTGCAATTGATTTATATCTTTGGATACCTGTATCGTTGCACAGCAACTCAAAGCAACTTGTTTGTCCGAAAATTGAACAAGCTCTTGAAATTTGTTGTGCAGGTTTGATTTTACCGTATAAAACTGTAGAACATATTTAACTTTGATCGTGTCATAGCAAGGACTGGCCACGAGTAACTTTTGGACATTACTGCTAGCACTCGTATTTATCAGATTATTCAATTTCTTCAACATGTCCAGTTTGACCATGTACTCATTGGAACTGATCTCTTCCAACATTTGAAAGATTTCATCAGCGCCCAGTATACGATTGATCACATCCAAATCCCATACCACCGATTCAAATTTACGTACCGTGGATAAGAGTTCTGTATCAAAATGGGACACTGAACATTGCAACGAGTTGAGCAGTTCATAGGCTTCCTTTTCCAAGAGTTTGCCCTCCTCCAAATCGAATATGGTCGAATTGTTGGGCATAAACTCGACATAATTGTCCTCGATGTACTTAGAAACACGTTCCTTGAAACGATGTATATGCTCCTGAGTGGTTATGATGTGTTTGCGAATATCATTGACATTATCCGAACCCTTATTGGAGTTGAGATCCGTTTTGATTACCAAAGCTTCCATTTTCTATTTTTGTTTTCTAAAATAAAACTGAGCGCGGCCTGTCATATCGCCATTGAATTATAACGGAACAAATGCTTGTAGACTTTGACGTATGATTAAGCGGCTCGACAACATGTCAAACCTATGTGTCAATCTTGAATACATTTAATTGAAGCGGGCTGGCAATGGGCTGAATTGTGTGGTAAAAGGGTGAAATAGATCAAAATCAAAACAGATGCAACAAGATGGCATTAAATAAATAAAACGACTTGGAGTTTGAATGAAAAGCCAAGATTTCATTTCAAATTATGCTATGTATTTCTCTAAAGATTTAATTCCCCACAAAAAGTGTAGATTTTAATTAAAATTGTAATTAATAGCCAAGATTTCCTTTCAAAATTATCCTATATATTTCTCGAAAAATTAATTCTATATTATAGAGTAGAGTGAACATGCATTCCCAAGCATAGATTTTTTGATTATAACTTAATATGCTTATGTTCTCACACCTTAAAGTCAAGAAAGCCATGACAATGGAACAACTCTAGTTTATTTAAATCTCTCGGATTTTTTTTTGAAATTTTCTCCAAAGGTAGGTATTTTCCTCATACGAGAAAATTATTTTTTTCTTGGGTTATATCCGGATCTACTAAGCAGATAAGGACAATATAGCTTAAGAAAATACCCATGGCTTAATATGAAAGGTTAAAACTAGGAAAAATGCAACTCTGTCCTAGAGCTTCTTAGACTTCTAAAGCTGCTATCAAACGATAAGTACGACGATATGTATTTACGCGTTTAAGTCAAAATTGCAATTTTATATATGCCTCATAATTCTTGCTACCACACACTTAAATATGAAATATTGAATTCATGACCCAGGGACTATATTGTTTTATTCTAAGTTATACATTTCGTAGCCCGATATCGTCAAAATTATGCATTTATGTTGCATCAATGGTAGAGCAACACAAGTAGTCGCATCGACACAGCTGCTGTGACAATGAACTGTCAAACCGATTTTAATATTCAAAATCGTGAATGAAAAATTATTAAAATTTGTAAAAATTGTTGAAAAATTAAAAAAAAAATTATAATTACCTCCGAATGACGTAGTATAAGAATACATATAAAAATCTACTTATATTTGAAAAAAAACATTTAATTTTTTTTGACATATCAATGCTCCCAAGCGTTGATGCATCTACTTGTATTCTTCTGCCATGAAAGAATAGGAACACCCATGATATAATTATTACAGTTAAAAAATTTAATATTTTCAGTACTATTCTTCTGGCTTTTCAATTTAATTCAAATTATAAAAAAAAAACAATTTTTTGAAATTAAAATAATTTATTAAAAATTTATTTTTTGTTTACTTTTTTCGACATACAACTCTGTGACCTGTGACCTGTATTATTCTACCTTGAAGAACACCAAAAAATGAAATATTGCAATTATGAGGTATCTTTGTTCTAACTTCTGTAATTATGTAATGAAAATATCTATCCAATTCGGGAGTTATATCTAAAATTTTAATAATTTTTAATTCCAAAAATTGTTTGACATTTAATTTTACCAGCAGCTGTGTTGTTGCGGTTCCCTGTGTTATTTTATCTTGTCTGGCTCTTGCAACTCGAAATGAACCCAAGTGAACTAAGAAAAATAGTTTTGTTCTGTGAATTTTCCTTTTGAACCCAAAACAGAAATTTCAAAATCCCCCGAAAGAAGAAGCACGTCATTGACTTGCCGCTTTACCGCAGTACCATTGATACACGTCTCTTATTATGTTTTCGAAATGTTTATTTCTTATATCGGCCATTTTCTACCTCACAAATACTGGAGTTGTGGCCTTATTTGACCCCCTGCCCATGGGATTGGCGGCTGGTGCCGCACTGGGTCTCTACAAATTTGATACGCTTAAAGATAACACCTACTGCCGATTTGCTGAATGCTGCAATGAACGGTCCATTCCAGCGGATATTAAGGGCTTACAACAGGATTTGGATGAACATTTATTTGGCCAGCACATTGTCAAGCAACAGTTAATACCGGCCTTAGAAGCACATTTCAAAGAAAAGGGGAACTCCAAGAAACCACTGGTGATTAGTTTTCACGGTACTCCAGGTACGGGTAAGAATTTCGTTGCGGACAAAATTGCCCAAAGAATATACGAGAAGGGATCGAAGAGTAAATTTGTGCGCAAATATATGGGTCGTGGTGACTTCCCTTTGGAATCGGATGTCCATCTGTACAGTGTACTACAATGTTGAATGGCGTATGTATATTCAAACAAAAGTAAATTTTGTTTTCTCTCACATTCGAGGTACGCATTTGGTCCACGAGTTGAAATTCCCACAGAAAACTGCAAACAAAAGAGGCAATATTTTCAAAATATTTCCATCGGCAGAAAAAATGTTTGACAAATGTCTCTCCAGCAGAATTTAAAAATGGAAAAACACAAAAATATGTTCAAAATGTCAACATTTACATAAAAAGTTGAAAACGTGAATGAAAATTGTAAAATTATTGATTTAAAAAATTTTTGGGAGGAAGGCAATAATTTCTCAAAAAGTGTAGATTTTAATTAAAATTGTAATTAATAGCCAAGATTTCCTTTCAAAATTATCCTATATATTTCTCTAAAAATTAATTCTATATTATAGAGTAGAGTGAACATGCATTCCCAAGCATAGATTTTTTGATTATAACTTAATATGCTTATGTTCTCACACCTTAAAGTCAAGAAAGCCATGACAATGGAACAACTCTAGTTTATTTAAATCTCTCGGATTTTTTTTTTGAAATTTTCTCCAAAGGTAGGTATTTTCCTCATACGAGAAAATTATTTTTTTCTTGGGTTATATCCGGATCTACTAAGCAGATAAGGACAATATAGCTTAAGAAAATACCCATGGCTTAATATGAAAGGTTAAAACTAGGAAAAATGCAACTCTGTCCTAGAGCTTCTTAGACTTCTAAAGCTGCTATCAAACGATAAGTACGACGATATGTATTTACGCGTTTAAGTCAAAATTGCAATTTTATATATGCCTCATAATTCTTGCTACCACACACTTAAATATGAAATATTGAATTCATGACCCAGGGACTATATTGTTTTATTCTAAGTTATACATTTCGTAGCCCGATATCGTCAAAATTATGCATTTATGTTGCATCAATGGTAGAGCAACACAAGTAGTCGCATCGACACAGCTGCTGTGACAATGAACTGTCAAACCGATTTTAATATTCAAAATCGTGAATGAAAAATTATTAAAATTTGTAAAAATTGTTGAAAAATTAAAAAAAAAATTATAATTACCTCCGAATAACGTAGTATAAGAATACATATAAAAATCTACTTATATTTGAAAAAAAACATTTAATTTTTTTTGACATATCAATGCTCCCAAGCGTTGATGCATCTACTTGTATTCTTCTGCCATGAAAGAATAGGAACACCCATGATATAATTATTACAGTTAAAAAATTTAATATTTTCAGTACTATTCTTCTGGCTTTTCAATTTAATTCAAATTATAAAAAAAAAAACAATTTTTTGAAATTAAAATAATTTATTAAAAATTTATTTTTTGTTTACTTTTTTCGACATACAACTCTGTGACCTGTGACCTGTATTATTCTACCTTGAAGAACACCAAAAAATGAAATATTGCAATTATGAGGTATCTTTGTTCTAACTTCTGTAATTATGTAATGAAAATATCTATCCAATTCGGGAGTTATATCTAAAATTTTAATAATTTTTAATTCCAAAAATTGTTTGACATTTAATTTTACCAGCAGCTGTGTTGTTGCGGTTCCCTGTGTTATTTTATCTTGTCTGTTATTTTATCTTGTCCCTGTGTTATTTTATCTTGTTCCCTGTGTTATTTTATCTTGTCTGAATTTTCCTTTTGAACCCAAAACAGAAATTTCAAAATCCCCCGAAAGAAGAAGCACGTCATTGACTTGCCGCTTTACCCCAGTACCATTGATACACGTCTCTTATTATGTTTTCGAAATGTTTATTTCTTATATCGGCCATTTTCTACCTCACAAATACTGGAGTTGTGGCCTTATTTGACCCCCTGCCCATGGGATTGGCGGCTGGTGCCGCACTGGGTCTCTACAAATTTGATACGCTTAAAGATAACACCTACTGCCGATTTGCTGAATGCTGCAATGAACGGTCCATTCCAGCGGATATTAAGGGCTTACAACAGGATTTGGATGAACATTTATTTGGCCAGCACATTGTCAAGCAACAGTTAATACCGGCCTTAGAAGCACATTTCAAAGAAAAGGGGAACTCCAAGAAACCACTGGTGATTAGTTTTCACGGTACTCCAGGTACGGGTAAGAATTTCGTTGCGGACAAAATTGCCCAAAGAATATACGAGAAGGGATCGAAGAGTAAATTTGTGCGCAAATATATGGGTCGTGGTGACTTCCCTTTGGAATCGGATGTCCATCTGTACAGTGTACTACAATGTTGAATGGCGTATGTATATTCAAACAAAAGTAAATTTTGTTTTCTCTCACATTCGAGGTACGCATTTGGTCCACGAGTTGAAATTCCCACAGAAAACTGCAAACAAAAGAGGCAATATTTTCAAAATATTTCCATCGGCAGAAAAAATGTTTGACAAATGTCTCTCCAGCAGAATTTAAAAATGGAAAAACACAAAAATATGTTCAAAATGTCAACATTTACATAAAAAGTTGAAAACGTGAATGAAAATTGTAAAATTATTGATTTAAACAATTTTTGGGAGGAAGGCAATAATTTCTTCTATTCTTATTAGTGAGAATTTCATGTATTTTAGTATAAATTCCCATTAAAATCAACAAACAAAATTTTTTAAAAAATGAATTATTTTACTATGAATTACGAATCGTGCCGTATGAACGGGTTAGTTCGTATACCTAATTCTGAGAGCGAACAACGTTGTTCGGTTTTCAATGGAAACATGCTATTAATGCGGTTTTCTGTGTTATTTTATCGTAATTGGTTCTTGCAACTCAGAAATGAATCCAAGTGAACTAATCAAAACAGATGAAATGTAGTTTTGTTCTGTGAATTTTCCTTTTGAACCCAAAACAGATATTTCAAAATCCCCCGAAAGAAGAAGCACGTCATTGACTTGCCGCTTTCCCCAGTACCATTGATACACGTCTCTTATTATGTTTTCGAAATGTTTCTTTTTTATATCGGTCATTTTCTACCTCACAAATACTGGAGTTGTGGCCTTATTTGACCCCCTGTCCATGGGACTGGCGGCTGGTGCCGCACTGGGTCTCTACAAATTTGATACGCTTAAAGATAACACCTACTGCCGATTTGCTGAATGCTGCAATGAACGTTCCATTCCAGCGGACATTAAGGGCTTACAACAGGATTTAGATGAACATTTGTTTGGCCAGCACATTGTCAAGCAACAGTTAATACCGGCCTTAGAAGCACATTTCAAAGAGAAGGAGAACTCCAAGAAACCACTGGTGATTAGTTTTCACGGCACTCCAGGTACGGGTAAGAATTTCGTTGCGGACAAAATTGCCCAAAGAATATACGAGAAGGGATCGAAGAGTAAATTTGTGCGCAAATATATGGGTCGTGGTGACTTCCCTTTGGAATCAGATGCCCATCTGTACAGTGCACGCATTCTAAAGGATGCTCGAGAGGCCATTAGTGCCTGTCCGCGCTCTTTGTTTATATTCGATGAAGTTGATAAAATGCCTCCAATGGTGTTTGAGTCACTGGCATCTTTAATTAATTATAATGCCCTAGTTGATGGTGTGGACAGCACACAGGCGATTTTTATTTTTCTCTCCAATACTGCCGGAGTACACATATCAGACAAACTGGGAAAGCTTATCAAGAGTGGGACATTACGTGACAAAACCCGCCTTAGTGATTTTGAGCAAATTCTGGAAAAAGGGGCCTATAACTTGGATGGTGGCCTCAAGAAGACCAGTCTCATAGAATCACATTTAATTGATCATTTTATACCTTTCCTGCCTTTGGAAAAATCCCATGTTTACAAATGTGCCCAGGCGGAATTTGCAATATGGGGCAAGACCCCCAAAGATGAAGTCGTAGAGTAAGTACTAAATCGTTTAAAGAAGCACTGTTAATGCATTGAGACTTTTTATTATTCTATATTGCAGGCGAGTTGTGAACGACTATATCACTTATGACCGCGTCCATGGCATATTTGCCACATCGGGTTGCAAGAAACTGGGTAAAAAAGTTGCCGTAGAGGCTATGTCGCCGGATTTATAATAATGTATAACATTTTGTATAGATTAATAATTTATTGTAATTGAAACTATTAAGCATATTTTTTGTTCTAATTGTTGTAATAAAGTGCTTTTCTACCATGGGTTTTGCCATTTTAAACGTGCATCTCTTTTCAATAGATCGGTGTCCAATCGTTTGGGATCGCTTTCGAATGACTCCAATGCTTGTATTCTGTCTTCAGTTGGGCCGATTTCTTTGGTTACAATGCATTCACCATTCTCCTTGAGCACGGTGTGTTTGATATCGTTCTCAGTGGGTTCTCCGTGGGGAAATGTGATTGGAGTCACTTTGATCAAGTGTTTAATCTTCCAGAGGCGGGCATTGTTTTCGGGAATGTTTTTCACAACGGTAAAGTCGCCCTGCTTGCCATCCAAGCCCAATTCTTTTAGCAAACGTTTCTCCCAATAGGGATTGCCTTTGACTGGTTTGATGCGTTGAACTCTAAACAATTTGGCAGGTTCAATTGGAGGATCTTGATGGTCAGGAGTTCTAATTGGAAAATTGTATATAATAATAAAATGCTTTGGCTAAAATGTGCACAATACATGCCTGGGGTAGTAAATAATTTTGCCATATTTTTGTCCATCCTTGTAGAGGAACTTTTTGTTGTGTTTACCATAATGGCGCACAGCCTGGAGACAATGACTTTCGGCCGAATTTAAAAGACACTTCAAGGAGAACATTTTATGTTATAAAATTCCAAATATTTCCCAAGATATTCCAAAATTTCGGCAAATTTCCCGACTCGTCTTGAGAAGCAAACAGATGTTTTTGGGGGTTATGCAAAACAATAAGACTAAGGAGCCGGCTGCTGTTTTGTTTACCGGCGTCAAACAGTTATGAACATGTGAAGCGATATGCAACACAGCGCTTTTAAAACATAGAAATGTAGCAATAAAAATTAATAATGGTTGATAGTGAATATGTACAAAGATGCGAATGATCTTTATTATAGATTCTAAGCAAAAAAGAAACCTTTGGGTATCTTAATATCTCGCCAGAAATAGTTGTTTTGTAACTTGGATTGATAGCCCCTTTTTTGTGTGGCTGTGTTTAGTGGGTCTTTGTAATGCAGCTGAGTTGAACACTCAACGTTAGCAGTTAAATTTTCAATTGAATGAAAAAAGTTAAAATTAATTTTATTAAAAATGAGAATAAATAAATTTATAATGTTGTGTATTCTTTTTTATCCTCATTGGATGCACCATTGGATCTACAAAAAAACCTCTTTGTTCAAAAATGATAACAGCCTGGTGGATCTTTGTAACCTAACAATAGATGTGAGGGGCGGAGCTAGACGCCATTGCTTCATACTTTTTTTCTACAATCTCATTGGTGGATGCGGCTGTATGATACCATGCCATTTACAAGATTTATAAGGGATGAAATCAACGGATGTGCGTGTGTGTCCTATATAAGATGCTGCAAAAAGTTGTAACACTTACAGTTTCCAATTGGAATTGCAACAGCTAGGAGTGTTAAAACGTTGCCGCTGTTCGGATTTTGCATCTTGTTTTCTTCCAATTCGGATATTCCTAATAGAAACCCACAAATACTGGGTAAGTTATGAAAACATATTGGAATTATATGACCCTTGAGAATAAATGTGACAACGTTTTACTGCAAATTGACGAACGTGATTGTAAATATTGATGCTTGTTGTTTGTTGGCAATGTTTATTCAATACTTTCCTTTGGGCAAAATGAAGGGTTGAGTGTTTAACCACACTTCAACACACAATCGATGCTCAAATAATAAACCCCTTTCATTTTGCCAAAGGAAGTGTGCAAATAATAACATGCCATTTTTGCAAATAATAAAAGCCATAAATAATACAATTAGTACGCCCTTTGGTGTGTTGGTATCCTAAATAAAAGGATTGGGTTATTAAAATAACAACTTGTGGGTGTTTAATGTTCTGAATGTTGATGTTAACACGTTTTTGTTTCCCTTTCAGATTTCTAAAACTGGACGCCATGGTGTATGATATGACACAAAATCATTTGGTGCCACCACAAAATATTGCCGTGGGCCGTTATTATTTACAGGATTTACAGAATGTGGAGAATCAGGACTATGCAGCCTTTGATTTTGACAAAAGATATCAGGCGCGTATGGTTTGTGAAACACCGCCACCACAGTCGTCAACATCAGTATCTCAATCTTTACCCCAACCTCCACCAACACCAGCTCCTCGTAGGCGTACCACACCCATAACTCACTTAGATCCAGCGGAGTTGGTGGGACTTTCACGAGAAGAAAGACGCCGTAGAAGACGTGCAACATTAAAATATCGTACCGCCCATGCAACAAGAGAACGTATACGAGTGGAGGCGTTTAATGTATCCTTCGCCGAGTTGAGAAAATTATTACCTACTCTACCACCGGATAAGAAGCTATCAAAAATTGAAATACTAAAATTGGCTATATGTTATATTGCATATCTCAATCATGTTCTGGAGACACCATGAGTTGATGGACATTATTTTAAGTGAGTTTAAGTAAAAAAACACACAATTCGGAAATCAAACACAGAGAATGTAATGATTGAGAAGAGAGTTGTTCTGCTCTGTTCCAGAACTGCAAGAATGTAGAAGTTTTTACTACTATAACCGATTTATGATATCGAAGAAAATTGCAAAACTCGTAGATTCTTGCAGGTACTGAAACAGAATGACAATTCCCATTTATTCTAATTCAACGTAGGCAGTTTGTCGCAAGGGAAACTAAGATTTTGGAGGAGATGACAGAAGAAAAATTGGAATTACCTCCTCTATTTTTGTTTTCATGAAATGCGCTATTATATCCGCCCCAATTGCTACGTGTAAATGGGGGATAAGAAGAATGGTTTTCCTAGTAAAAACTTTCTCTGTGTGATTTCCGAATAATATTAGTTTAAATATTTACATTAAGGACAATTTTCAGTTTGTGGATTCCTGTTATGTGATATAAATATAATACGTTTAAATGACATCATAAATTATTTTACCCATTTTTATCTTAATTTTTCTTTGCTATGACAATTCCCTTATAATATTAAGAAATATATATAAAAAATTAATAAAATAAAATAATTCATTATAAAAAAATAAAAAAAAATAATATAATAAAAAAAAATAAGTGTAAGATTTCGTTGGATTGGACACAATGATTAAGGACCCAAATGTAAACATAACATAAGGTATAGATCATGGCAGAAGAAAGTAGGTAGATGCATCTAACGCTTGGGAATATCGATATGTCAAAAATTTTAAAATATTTTTTCAAATATAAGTAGATTTTTCAATGTTTTCTATACGACGTCAAGCGGAGGTTATTATTATATTATTATTTCAACAATTTTGCAAACTTGAATAGTTTTTTATTCAACATTTTCAATACCAAAATTGGTTTGACATTTCATTGTCCCAGCAGCTGTGTCAATGCGTCTAACTGTATTTTTCTACCATGGTATATTAAGAAAACCAATTGAACAAAGCAAAGATGAGAAGTAAACAAAGCATAATTTTCACGTTTCATTAATAATGTCTTGATAGTTTTTGCAAATGTCTGGATGCCTAAGATACACAGATTTTTTTCTGTAAATAATACTTAAAATTAGTAATCTTGCCTTTGTATACGGATGGTTAATCAAGGTTTTCTAATATAATGTTTACATATAATAGATGTCAACTGTCAAGTCAATACGAAAAAAATTGAAAATATCACTACATGTGTAGACGTTTCTAGTAATATAGAATATATCCATGGTAGAATTAAAAAGGTAAAGTCATATAATCATATATTTACATTTTTTTCAAAATTTTTCATTTGACAACATCTTCAAAATTGGTATTTATAAATCCATTGTGTACACAGAAATCAGAGAAGAGAACCTGTTTTTTCAATGAAATTTGACATGGTAAAAGACAGAAAATGCAAGGATGGATAGTCTTATTGAAATGACTTTACCTACTTAATTTTACCATAAGTATATCGATTAATGAAGGATCCCAGTATTACGTTACGAAATACTAATTGGAAATGTTGAAAAAAGTTGGTAATTTTTTTAGGTAAATAAGCGACAATGACATGGGTTCCATGCGTGTTCCATGAAATTGAAAAATATTTTCTTTATAAAAATTTCTATTTGACATTTATTTCCTCTATGACAATTTTCTTTTAATACAAGTTTTACAACTTAAATTTTAATATAAATAAAGAACTTTGCATTAAATTTTCTTTACTCCGTAAATCCTTCTACTTTATTCAGATCCCTTGCAAAGGTGGTCCCATTTGGCATTGTTGTCTGCCTTCATAAAAAGTTGATACATACAATTGCGAACATATGTGTCCAGTCTTTGTCCCCCGTTTTTTGGATGCTGTTTGTTATTATGATTGGGGATGAGAGTAACATGCGCAGTAACTTCCATCAAAGACACACCTCCTTCATTATATTCGTTAGAATGGAATGGAGGCAAAATATCTGTTACATTTTAGTCCCTAAATAAATTCGAGTTTATTAAGACATTTATAATATTCAACGCCCAAATCTTTTAGAAAAATCAATGAAATTGACAATTTAAATTAGGTGTTTTAAAACATGTGTAAACTCAATCTGTGTTTAATAAGCCAAAATTATTGGCAGTTGTAAGATAAAGTAATAAGAAATTAAAGGTGAGACATCTAAAAACTCTGTTTCCTTTGACCAGAGATTCTTCGTAAATACATAATCTTTACATTTATTCCATGTTAAAATTAAGATGTTAACATTGTTTAAACTTTTTGAAATAATAATTTGGAAAACATCTCATTGTCAAATTATTATTTTTATCAATGGAGTGTATTTACAAAAATCAGAGATGGGGACCTGTGTTCCACGAAAATATATTTAACAAAATAAATTACAGAAAACGCAGAGCTGGATATCTTATGTAATTGTACCCATGGCGCAATAATAAGTTGTTACAGCATCCAGATGAAATGTCAAAATTGTATAATTTTCAAAACATCTTTTTGTCAAAATAAATGATCACAAATCAATTACATATATACATATCAGAGATGGGAATCTGTTCTCAATGAAGTTATATTTGAGGAGGTAAATTACTAGAAACGCAGAGCTGGATATTACTATTTGAAATGAGAATACCTTATATAATTGTACCCATGGCACAATAATGTGTTATTACACCGACCAAACGAAATGTCAGAATTTGTTTACGTTTTGTTTAAATTCGCGGTAAATAAAATTAATTTTAAATAATAATAATAAGAGATGGATATGATCTCTGCATTTTCTGTCATTTTCCTGGTCGAATTTCACCGTTTAAAAAACAGATTCCTATCTCCGATTTCTGTGTATACAATCGATTTCTAAATATACCTTTTGACAATGAGATGTTGTCAAATTAATAATTTGGAAAAAATGTAAATGACATGGTATTACCTTCTTAATTCTACCATATTTAAATTATACGTTTTAAAAAAACATGTCATAGTCAAAACAAATGTTCATAAATCGATAGCATATACACAAATCAGAGATGTGAACCTGTTTTCAGTGAAATTATATTTGACAAGGTATGTCAAAATTTTTGTTTATTTACCTTTGGCTCTTCAAATTATTACACCAACCTCGAATATTTGAATCCAATAAAAAAATATCCCCATAACCAAGGTAATAATTAATGTTTGTTTTGTTGTCCAAGTTCTAAACAAAAAAAATTCCAATAAACACAACGAAAAAGCCTTTCACACAAATGGTAACCTTTAGCAACATTTTATGGGAATTTCATTTTCTTACAAAAAAAAGTAAACTGCACATTCTCCTTGAAAACGGCTTCAAACTCCTGTTGTGGCATTTAGTTACGATTTTGAAATTGGAAGACTTCACACGCAATCAAATGTTTCAAATTAAACAGAAAAATAAGAAAACTTTTTGAAAATAGTTTTGCAAAAATAATCAAATTCAAAACAAGAACAATTTTATTGAAATTAAAAGTTTTGTGGAAAAAAGGAATTTTAAGAATATTCTCAATTGCAAATGGCAGCACATTATAGTGCAAATCAGGTATTAAAGAGATTAATTGGATCAAAAAGAATACAAATTGAATAAAGAAATCGAATTTTTGATTCTAACCGCGAAATGTTTAGTTTCGACTGTTGTCGCTATCTGTGCAAATATTATCGCCAATTAACTATGTATCCATAAAATATATCATCTTCTTCCTCAAATTATATATGTGTATGTCCGTAAATTTGTGAGTATTTGCTGTAAAACATTGTCTACATTCTGTTGTCTCCGTCAAAATCGGTCTATAAACAAAATAACTTGCATAGCAACCGTATAAATGAAATTCACGCACGTTATTCAAATAAAATAGTTGTTTTCATTTATATACGAGGTTCGTTGGAAAGGATCAAATGGCCTGGATAAACAAATAGTGATTTTGTTAAGATGTATTAAAAAATTCATTGAAGGAATGCATGGTAATCAAATTTAGATTTTCGAGAAAAACAATGGTAATGTCATGGTAAAATCAAGAAACTAAAGACATTTCTGATAAGATCTGAACATATGATTGCATGACTTTACCTGCTTAATTCTACCGTAGATAATAGGTGTGCCTGGTTACTCTAAAATTTGTAACAATTGTTACAAATAGTTACTGGAATTCCTCTGTTAACCCGAAATGTCGGCAAAAGAAAGCAGTCGGAGAGAGAAATTTTGACAGTTCTCAGATGTTTTCTTTTGTTGGTTTATATCTTTTTAGCAAGACTAATTATTTTTGGAAAAATAAAATAAATAATGAATAAAATAAATAATGAAAAACGTAAATATTAATATGTAATAAGAAAATAAAAGACTATTTCCAACATTTTTAGACAAACGTCAAATCTATCTTTCTTTTGGTTTGTTTTTCACAATTGATTTGTTTTGACAAATCAGCTGATTAGTTTCAAGTTTCTGCAGGAATGCCGTCTGTTTACTTTTCGCATTTTCCTTGTAAAAGAGAATAAAACTGCCTTACTCTCTGAGAAAGATGTTGATGGACAGCTCGTGCAGGAAAAGTAACCAGTCACATCTAATATCACTATCATATATTTACGTTTTATGGGTGATGGTATACTAAGTTTGTCATTCCGTTTGTAACACCTCTAAATATACATTTTAGACTCCACAAAGTATTCTATATTATTGATCAGCATAACACTCGTATGTCGATTTAGCGATGTCCGTCCGTCTGTGGAAATGACTCTAGCTTCCGGACGAAATGAAGTAGGTTGATAAAATTTTACTCAAATGTATATTATGTCTGAAGGACTTTTGGTATTGAAAATGTGCCATATAGGTCCACGTTTCGGTATAGTCCCCACATAATTGTACCTCCCTATTTTCTGTATTTTGGTGATTTAAGAGACATTATTCACCGAAAATGTTTCAAGTTTGGTATTTAAAGTTCGTAATGGATACTACAGCCTATGACAGAAAATTGTCCGTACAGGCCCAAGCTTTCGTGTAGTCCCCATATAACGGCACCTCCCAATATTCGATATTTTAATGATTTTAGCGACATTATTCACCGGAATTGTTTCAAATTTGGTATTTGAAGTTCGCAATGGATACTACAGCCTATGATAGAAAGTTGTCCGTGCAGGTCCACGTCTTCGTATAGTCCCCATATAACGGCACCTCCCAATATTCGATATTTTGATGATTTTAGCGACATTATTCACTGAAAATGTTTCAAATTTGGTATTTAAAGTTCGTAATGGATTCTACAGCCTAAGACAGAAAATTGTCCGGGCAGGTCCACGTCTTCGTATAGCCCTCATATAGCGGCACCTCCCGATATTCGGCGTTTTGATGATTTTAGCGACATTATTCATAGGAATTGTTTCAAATTTGATATTTGAAGTTCGTACTGGATACTACAGCCAATGACAGAAAATTGTCCGTGCAGGTCCACGTCTTCGTATAGCCCCCATAGCCTCCCTATATTCGGCATTTTTATGATTTTACCATATAGATCCTAATATAACGGCTACATTCGGTAATTTGAAGATTTTATCAGAATTTTTAACGGATTTCATTTTTTTAATTAACAAATTCGTTCCAAATGATGGAGGGTATTCAAAGTTTGGCCCGGCCTCTTCTGTACTTGTTACTCTCCTTTTTGGAGATGTATTTGAGGTAGGGCCCCAAAACATGATTTTAATAATACTTTAAATAATTATTGTCAATGGCATTACTTATTCTCTTTAAAATAGAGACAAATATACTCTCCCTCATAATAAAAAAACTTTCCATGTAGGTAGATACATCAACGCTTAGGAACATTGATATGTCAAAAATTTTAAAGTGTTTTTTTTTTTTTCAAAAATATGTAGATTTTTATATGTTTTCTTATACAATGCTAATCGGAGGTTGTTATGATATATATTTTTTAAAAATTTTTACAAATTTTAATAATTTTTCATTTAAATTTTTCAATTTCAAAATCGTTTTGACAGTTCATTGCCTCAGCAGCTGTGTTGATGCCACTGTCTGTATTCTTCTATCATGAAACTTTCTCTCTCTAAGACTTTATTTAAAATAATTACCAAAAATGCACCTCGTATTTTCTCCTTTTTAACAGTATATGTATAAATCTCGTCAATGTACATACATATGAAACCATTTGCATGTATAACAAAAAAAAAATAATAAATAAATAAAAAAGAGAAAACCATATCCTGGTACAAGGAATTATTGTATTTTGTCAAAATATTTTTTGGGTCAAATGTGACAGGCTTTGTTATTTTTTTGTTTTGCAAAACTTTTTCTGGCATTCAAGTATTTGCCGGCATACAGCGCGCCCATTCGTAGGAGTTTTCACCGAAGCAACAAACGTTTATTGCTGCCAATTACCGTAACGATACACCGATACAAGGATAATATTAAGTTAATTTCAAAACAATTGATTCGACATCTGTTTTAGTCAAAGAAAGAAACAAAAAAGCGGCAGGCAGGGGTCCAGCTATCCATTATCCGGTTGGTAAAGCGAAGCGAGAAGCGTTAAATTACAACAGTGGCTAAGTATTATTGTATTTAAAGTTGGAGTGTCATAAAACGGGGATTATCGTAACAAGTGTTTTTAGGCGGGTGATGCCCACCTCCAAATAGATAAAATCCCAAAAAAATCTTCAATTCTATTGATACACGTGTTAACTTACAAATACCAGCTAGCGCCCACATCGAAAGGGGGTTGAAAGGGTGCGTGCATGCCGTTGTGTGTCTTCTGTGTGAAAATCGTATGCTCTAAGGTGGAAGGAGGATTTGGTCTATAAGAGTGTGGGTGTGTGCTACGTGCTGCATGTCGCTAGGCTTGTAAACTCTTGATAAATGTTGCCCCAGAGATTTGACATTATAATCATTGTCAGGGACAACTTGGGCTATTTGATGGATGGTTGAACGTTTTGTTGCAAAAAACAAGAAAAGATGACCCCGCCGCTATATCTATTCTATTGAAGACAATTCACATTGTTAACAATTTGCTAATTGAGTTTAAAATCAATTTGAAATACCTACTTATTTGACAAATTCTAACGGCATACAAAGAGAGAGGGAGGGAGACTAAAAACAAGATATTCTTTCATTTAAGTATCAAATTTAACGCCTCTTACCGTTAAATTTAATTATTCACTAATTTTGTATGTGTGAATTTGAAGTTAGTTTGAGGGTTGTGTGGCCTGGTGTTGATTGAGATTGTTTACATCATTTCCATAAAGGCATGTGATGAGGGGTGGGAGGAAAAGTTTATGTGGTCTTATGCCACAGCCTCGTGTTTGAACGCGTGCCAATGTGGTTTTCAATCAAATAATGTCATCATGGCAAGTGTTGACGGAAAAAGGCACAATAACACCAGCGGCATTACAATAAAACATTTTTTGGCCACAGATGAAGATATCAAATTTCTTGTAATTTACATATAACAAATTAAAAAATATGGGCGAGCAGAGAGCGAATGGTCCAGTGGTTCTCACGAAGAGGGGTTTTTTGATTAAGACCCCTTGGACAAATTTTGACATTTTTAAATTACAACGGAACAAGTAAATAGTGTGCAAATCAATTGTAAGAGAACGAAGATAGATAGATTTTGACAGTTATACTCTCAGACAGACTGAGAGACTTTTTTTGCAGTAAGAACAGTAGTGATCTATTATGATGCATTGATCTATTATAATTATAGTGCGGTTATCCCCGATCATTAAGCAACCTCAATAAATTAAAATTATCTTTTCCATTGTGACATTTATTATGAGTGGTTAATTTTCAAAGTTAATCCAGATAAAGAGTAATATGTAAACGTGTAAATCATAGTAGAAGAATATAGGTAGACGCATCGACACAGCTGCTGGAACAATGAACTGTAAAACCAATTTTGGAATTGAAAATGTTAAATGAAAATTTATTAAAAATTGTAAAAAATTTTTGAAAAATGCGAATTATAATAACCTCCGAATGATGTCGTATAAGAAAACGTGTACAAATCTACTTATATTTGAAAGAACATTTAAAATTATTTGACATATCTATGTTCCCAAGCGTTGATGCATTTACCTGTATTCTTCTACCATGCTACAAATTTCACCTGTTTTCCGAGTAGGGGAACGTTCCTTAATAAAACAGGTTAAAAAGCTGTAAGCTCGGCAGAGTCGAATTTTGAATATGCTCCAACATTTGGAAAATTTTGCAAAATTTGCAAAAAATAAATAAAAAATAGAATCTGTAAAAAATTCTATTGAAATCTCAAAAATACCGAATATAGGGAGTTACCGTTATTTTGGGATCCATACGAAGACGTGAACTCGCATAGGCGAGTCATTGTCATTGGCTGCAATATCTATTACGAACGTCAAAATTGAAACAATTCCGGTGAATGATGTTGCTAAAATAATCAGAATACCGGATATAGGGAGATACCGTTATATGGGAGCTATACGAGGACCTGGACCTGCATAGACAATTTTCTGTCATAGGTTGTAGCACCTTTTACGAACTACAAATACCAAATTTGAAACAATTCCGGTGAATAATGTCGTAAAATCATCAAAATACCGAGTATCGGGTGGTACTGTTATATGGGGGATATATGAATTCCTGGACCTCCACAGACAATTTTTTGTCATAGATTGTAGCACCTTTTACGAACTGCAAATACCAAATTTGAAACAATTCCGGTGAATAACGTCGCTAAAATCATCAAAATACCAAATATCAGAAGGTGCCGTTATACGGGGGATATACGAAGACGCTTGCCTGTCCGGACAATTTTCTGTCACAGGTTGTAGTATCCATTACGAACTTTAAATACCAATTTTCAAACAATTCCGGTGAATAATGTCACTTAAATCAATAAAATACCGAAAATAAGGAGGTACAATTATATAGGGGCTATACCAAAACATGGACCTACATGACCCATTTTCAATAGGAAAAGTCCTACAGACATTATAAACATTTGAGTACAATTTTATCAAACTACTTCATTTCGTTCATAAGCTAGAGTGATTTCCACAGACGGACGGAACATCGCTAAATCGACAATAGAGAATTTTATGCTGATCAAGAATATATGTATACTTTGTGGGGTCTAAAATGTATATTTCGAGGTGTTACGAACGGAATGATAAATTTAATACACCCTCAATACTATGGTGGAGGGTATAAAAACATAGAGCTTATGCTTGTGTCAACCGTAATGTGACGTTTTCCACATTTATGTTTAGCACTTTTATAGCATACTTTAAGGCGCTACACAAGATTTTAAAGCCAAAAAGTAAATCTATAATATTTAAATATAATATAAATTAACATATTTAGTAGTAGTACATAGCAGAGAAGTATATAGTATATATACGATAAATTGGCCTCTATTGGGCCTTTTCAATATCATATATATTTTCATGATTCATGATTGATTCACAAGACGTGTCCAAATTTATTATTTCAATCTCTAATAAAGATTTTTTTAAATCGAAAAACTTATCTTATTTTGAAGCAATATTCATTCAAATTCTTATTTCCAGACTCATATATCGCTCTGCTGAATAGTTAGTAGTCCACTAACTCGACCAGCTGGCTTCTATTTCTGTTTGTTCAACAATAACAGATGTATTTTAATCCTTGTAACTTTTGACTATAACTTTTATAACACTTGTCTGCATGCCTCCTCAGCTTATGGTATATCCCCCCATCTTATTGAGGTTAGGTTGGAAAGTGATAAATGATCGCCGTGGATTAAGTGCAGCATGGAAAATTGTCAAATAACAGCCAAGAATTCAATTGTGCATCATTTTTTTTTATTTGAAGAAAAACAAACAACGGCTTAAGTGGCATTAAAACGGAATAGTTTTTTACACATGTCCTTAAAAAGTTGTCTATGAGGAGATGTTGCATGGCGAACAATGTGTAATTGCCCTCGAATATGGCAGGGGACAGGGGATGAAGTCAATTCTCTTCTTTAGCATTGTAATGTTATTCCTGTTGGTGTTTGAAAAGGGGGTGTTTTGTTGTATCCGTTCCGTTAGGTAGCAATTTTTTTGCTGTCTAACATTTTGTTTGTTTGCCGGAGGATTATGATGATATAAATTATGGAATTACAGGATATTTGAGTAAGGACTAGAACAGGTTGTTGTTTGTCTTTAAAATTTGTAAAACATTCTGTTTGTTTTTTGCTGCAGTTTGAACAAGCCTATGCCTCGCGCCGTCTAGGCAATTGGGAGATACCCAAATGGCAAACCAGAGATCCGCCCAGACCGCGCCAACGAAAAGGCTCTACACAATTCATAGCCAATGAAAGAGGTCATTTGTTGGATGGTTCCAAAAAGTATTTCTTCCTTCGTATTCTTTTATTTTGAATTATTAAATATCTATCTGCCGATTTCCAGACTGAATCAAAATCCCTGGGGTAATTTTTCCGGAACTTACCAATTGCCCGACAAATTGACACGCAAATTTGGTGACGAATATCACAAGTATTTGACTAGAACAAATCTGTCCCAAGATGTGCCGGATTTTGGTGTTGCCGGTACTCGATTGACATATCCAAGCAAATGTAAGACATTGGGAAGAGTGGCACAACCAAACAAACCATTGCATTCCTGTGAGAAGAAGGATGTAAGATAAAATCGAATATAAAAATTATGATTAATTCATTCATTGGTATCCTTTAGACTTTTTCAATAAAATTTTAAATAAAATTGGAATTATTATGCACCCCCACTAAAATTAGCACACCTAAATCTTTAGATAAGTAAATTTAAATCATTAGCATAATTACTTCCATTTTAGTCCTTCGATTTGGAATACGTACCCGGTGACTTCACCTCATTCAAGGATCAACATCCCACCCGAGAATCTCTATTGGAAAATAAATACAATCGAGATTACAATACAGAGCCTCCATTGAAATTGGATGCAAATCTATTGGGTGACCATGAGTGTAAATCTCCACCAAACAACTGTGAACCGCCACCATTAAAGCTTACGCCAATTTTGCCTCAAACTTCGGCCCTGGTCACTTCAAATCTCTCACCACGCATACAAAATTTGGATTTGCTCGATAACACCTTAGGTAAATTGAATGACACACAATTTTCTTCAAATGTCTTCGAAGACGATTCGACGGCGAAAATGAATGGAACACAAACCATAACAGGAAAACCAAATGAACGTTGTCCATCACCCGTAGTTCCAGCCCATACAAATTTTGAGTTGGCCAGACGTATGCATCAGACGAATTTAATGCACAACCCCCTGCCGGACTGTGTAGCTGATCTTGCATTTCGAAGACTACAAATTACCGGGGATAATCCTGGTTTGGCTTTGGACATTGAACCCATAGCCAGTGGGGTTGGAGTTAAAACCCACAACGCCGGTCCCACGCATTGTACCAAAATGAAAGTGTATAGACCTCAAACATCAGGAGTTGTACCCAGAGCATACAATAATAGTGACAATTTTAGATCCTTTTCTGCTGCCCCATATCCAGACAAAAAAGTCGGAGCAATGGATTTGGCAATTTGTTGGGATTTACCCGCTCAAGAACCACCTCGACCAAGACACGTAGATGGCTCAAACGACTCGGCTGGTCCGGCTGTATTTAATTTTGTGAAAAGTCCACGAGAGGACCCACCTTTAAATACTGGACGTTCAGCTGGGGTGTTTACCAATACCCTGGGCGAAACTGGATTCTTTGACAAGGATATTTTAAGACGTAAGACTGATTTTGGTGGTCATCGCATACAAACTGATGAGGATTTGGATCTTTGCCGTCCCATGCCAAGAGCACGAAGTGTTTCAAGGGAAAATAGTGCTTGCAACAGGATTCAACGACTCACCAAACAGTTTCAATCAAACCCCGATATATCCGATCAAGATTATAAAACCTTGCGAGAAAAATACTTAGGGCCAGGATGTGATTTTGACTCTTCCCTTGATCCTGGTGGCTGTAAAAGGCCAGGATTTTTTAGGAGAGCCCGATCTCGCATTTGCCACAAAGTGGCACCTGAACCAAACTGTCATCGCCATTTTACGGAGAAAAGGATGCCCTGTAAAGCAGCATTTCGTGCGGGTCTACCCAGATTCAATGCAGCAGGACATTTCGTTAGTTCCGATAGTGGTTGCAGCATGGGTAGTCATCATCACCCCCATTCACAACGTGTCTTGGTAGTGCCAAAACCCCGCAATCCCTATGCGAAAAAGAACTATGACATTGACACCCTAGTGCCGCCCTTTAAAAGCTATGGTGGTGGAGCTGGAGAAGGCGGCTATCCAGAACATTGGCGCTTAACAAGCGTCTATCAACAGGCCTACAAACCAATTCAGAGCCGACGCAAACCTCTCATACAAACAGTTTACAAATGAATCTACACACACTTTTAAATGGGCATTTTATTTTATTTGATAAAGGTGCAATTGATAACTTTTGTAATAACGTACATAAAAAAATATGTAAAAGTGCAATTATTCAAAATTGAAAATATACTTAAGTATAAAGTAAGAGAAAATAACTTAGTATTATTGTAAAAAAATCTTTGGGAAAAAACGAAATGGTAAACAAATATCTTTCTTTTATTCATTGGTTGAATTCATACTCTTCATGTTTCTTGTGAAACACAGATTTCATCAAGTGATGACCCACTTCTCGTGTTGAACGACGTATGCTATTACGTATGGTGTGCTTCTTTTCATTTGTTAAATCTTCAATTTTCACATATTCAGTCTGAACTAAATCCGATTTAAGCTTCATCGTTCTCTCGCTGCCATCAATTATGGACAACTCAGTGATTTGGGATGGTTCTTCTTCCTCCAAGGGAATTCTGGACGGCTTGCGTCGTAAACTTTGACGTATACTATTTAAAATACCACCATGTGTGGGTTTCTCATGGTTTTCGCTGTCGCATGTTTCTGATTTGGTTGCCACTTGATGTCCATTGGGGTGCATTAACTTACGTATGGATCTGCGTATCATATTCTTGACATTCATTGATTTCTTTGAATTACCCTCACCGGGTTTATTGTCGTTATTGTTCCCCTCAACATTTTCCAAGGATTCTTTGCTTACTTTTAAAGCTGGGACAGATTTCGTGTAGGCTCGAACAAATGGAGCTGGTGTCTTGAAGTCAAAAGACTCGTTGGCATCTTGAATGTCACTATCAGGTCCATACAGTTCGTCCAACTCTTCCGGCTTAACGGCAATGACATCATCATCATCTACAGCAAAGGGATTATTGATACCCAAATCCAATTTGGGAACTGGAACTTCAGACAAATTAGTTTGCTCAAATGGGTTAGTCTTTATTTCCTTGGAATCTGTTTCACTTCGCACTTCCTCTATGCATTGCAATGGATTAGTGTTTATTTCCTTGGAATCTGTTTCATTCGGTTCTTCCTCTATGCGTTGCAATGTAGTTGTTTCTGTAGTTTCTTCTTCGACAATTTTGGTAACAACACCCTCCCTTATTTCTATTTCGGTGTGTGTGGTTTGTGTATGCCTCTCAACTGTTTCTTCCACTTGAACACTTTCATTAATTGGAGACATAGGCAAGTGCTCTGTAATGCCATTTTTACGTAACTTTGCCTCATTTATGCTATTTTCCAATTCCAATTGATAACAATCCAATTCTTTGCCTATGTCCATCGTCTCCTCCTCGCCAATGGATCCCAAAGACACTTTGTTGGTTTTCATTACGACTGGTGAAAATACAAGTTTTTCTGCCAAAAGCTTGGTGGGTGTTAACTGGGACATGGACATATCCTTAAAATCTATGCGACAACCTACATTGGGTACAAAAGGTAGGCCTATTTTCAATTTACAAGGCATCACTGGTATATCCTCTTTTGCTGCTGGTTCCCTTTGTATCTCGAAGGGATTTTTGGAGGCCGGAACATCCTGAGTTTTTAAATTCAATGCCGGATTAACAAAGCAATTGGAATTTCCCAAAGGAATACTTTCACGCACAACCTTAAAAAATACGAAAAGAAATTTCATAAATGCCATGTAAATCATTACTCTCCACCTACCTCATATGGATTGAATTGTTTTTCCGGAACATTTATATTTAATGCTGGGTTTTCAAAACAAGCTGCCTCGGCTGGACGTTTCTTTTTCTTTGGTGGTTTGCGTAATACCTCGTAGGGATTAGCAGGCACTTGCTGTTCCTCTGCTGCATCATCCTTATTTTTGGCTATATCAGCTATAGACTTAATTTCCAGGCCTGCTGCAAAGGCAGCAGCATTTTCTTTGTTCAGCCGCCGTTTGGCTAATATTTTTTTCGGTGTAGAACTGAACGCTTCATTTGTGAAGCCTGCCGTTTTGGTAAGAATTTCCTCAGGGATTGTTTGCTGGCGCTTTCGTTTTCTCGATGGAGTTATGTTTGGATCCATTGAGAGATTTAATTCAGCAGTCATAACGTGAAAGAATTTATAAATAATTAAACTTTTATAGATATTTGTATTTAATTAAAACAATTAACGACGAAATAAATTAGGTGCAGCTGTTCGATTTGAATGGGCAGAGCAAATGCGCGCTTGGGACAAATAAGAAGGCAAAACATAATGCTCTGATAAAAAATAAACGAAAAGCAAAATCTACGAGAATCTATGTTGTTTACAAATGAGACATGAGGAACTAGAAAACTTCCCAACTACTATTTTTAGGGGTGGTTTAGGTGGGTTCACATCTCCGCATTTATGTGTACGGAATAATGGTAAACAGTTGGCTGATATGTTGGCGAATAAAAATCTACAACAAGTTTGCATCTGACAATTATATTGATATTTTAACCCTCTTTTCCTTCCTTTGTTATCCAGAAAAACTTCGAAATTGTGTGTCCTTTCTTCCAGCTGATTGCATTGTCCTTAATTCCCATACGTAAACAACAGACATTCTCGCAAATTTGCTCTCTGTTTTTGATTTATCTTGCTATATGTTTTGCCCTGCTTATTCGTCTCACTTGGAACGTTTTTTATTTTGGTGTTTCGAGCGAGTTCCTAGAGGGAAACCCTCCACTATCGAGTCCGAAATTAAATAGAATAAAAACTACTATAAAATAAATTAAACACAATGCCATTGATTGTAATTTCTGGATTCCCCGCTAGTGGCAAAACGAAACGTGCCTTGGAACTGAAATCGTACTTCGAAAGCCGGGGGAAACGTGTCCATCACATAAGCGAGAATAAGGCAATACCAAAAGCTGGATTCCACAAAAACGTGTACTTTGCGGACTCACAAAAGGAGAAAATGGTTAGAAGTGACTTGAAATCCGAAGCTCTACGCCTGCTGGACAAAGAAAGCGTGGTGATATTGGATGCCGGGAACTATATTAAAGGTTTGTAACTGGTTATAGCAATATTTCCACCTGTAACGTTAATGACAATTTTAGGATATCGTTACGAGTTATTCTGTGCCACAAAAGCCGCCCGAAGTACACAATGTACATTGTTTTGCGGTGTACAAAATGATCGTGCCTGGGAGTTCAATTGCAGTCGTTGCGGTGTCGAGCCAGAAGATCTGAGTAAAGTGGAGGATGAATCACTGTTAGATAATTCCAATATTGCATACAGCAAGGAGATTTTTGAAGGCTTGTGTATGAGATTTGAGGAACCTCACGGGAACTGTCGTTGGGATAGCCCACTTTTCGTTTCCTTTCCAGACGATGAGCTAGAATTTGAAAATATCTACAGTGCTCTGTTCGAATCGAAACCTCTGCCGCCAAACCAATCAACACAAAACGTAAGGAATATTTTCCTCTTTAATATGAATTGATCACTAATAGTCAATTTCCTTTTTTTCCAGCCCCCTTTAAGTTCAACAAATTATGTATTTGAATTGGATCGTTTAACCCAGGAGATTGTGTCCGATGTTCTGGCAGCAAGGAAAATTGGAATCCTGGGACCCGTCCCCATTAAAAATAGTCAAATAAAAGTCGAAATACCTGGTAATATGACTGCCATTCAACTGAATCGTTTAAGGAGACAGTTCCTCAACTACAGCAAATTGCATCATGCCACCACCAGTACACTTGACAAAGTTCCTCAGTTATTTGTTCAGTTTCTGAATTCCAACTGTGGCAGCGGCTCTTAAAGAAAACAAATTGTGTGCATTGTCGTTTTACGATTTATATATATATGTATTTTTGTTGCATAAAATTTCATTTAACTCCAATTGTTTTTCTATTGGAAGCCTTCATGGATTTGTTTTTACAAAATATTTTGTATTTGAAAAATAAAGAAAAATCAATTCAAATATGTTTAGTAAATTCACAAAAATTCGTGATTTGTCCAGGTCAATCAATTTAAACATAATCAGTGCAATCATAACAATATGATAATTCACTCCGTCCTTCTTTTGATGGCTCGCTAAGCCATACCATCGGCATCGCTTTGATTTGCCTCCATGTCGTCGCCGCCATCACCGCTGCTATTAAGCGGTTTGCGACAAATCCAAAACAGGCTTTCATATTCGCTTTTCAGCATTGAATTTGGATTTTGAGCATATTTTGTACGTACACCAGTCTTGGAGGTTAGAACTTCGAAGCCCACACTGTCGATTACATGCATTATGTCCTCGAATGTCGGTTCAATGCTATCCTCATTATGCATATCACTGAAATGATAAAGCAATGGGCCCAAATTCACCCAAATGCCACCAGGAACTAAAATTCGATAAATAGTTTCTATGAAGTCGATCACGTTGTTTGCACAATCAATGAAGAAACACGTTGCCACACAGTCATACACATCCGGAGTGGTATAAACCTTAAATGGAAATAATGGATTATAAATCTTGCAAAACATAACAACAACTTCTTACCTCCAGAAAGTCTCCTGCTACCACTGATAGTCTTCCAGTTGGTTTATTTTTAGCTGGGCTAACGTCAGGAAAACGTACAGCGGCGGTTTGATCCGCTCTACGCAAGTTATTGACCGTCTGATGGACCCAAGGATAAAGGGAATACATATTTTCGTCCGTGCAGAAGTTCAACACGAAATTCGAGGCAATTAACATGAAATATGAGAATTCATTGCCCTCACATTCATAGCCCCTGCAGGCAAGCTCATATGTTAGCCTGCCCAAACCACAGCCAGGTACCAGAATTTTCACCTCATTCTCGTTACTGAGAAGATGACAAGAATGTTCATTAGAAAATGCATTAGGACCTCTTTAAAGTCATACTCACTAGTCCTTCGGGTTAAAGTATTGCTCAATGGCTTCAATGATAGGTTTATAGGATTGGTCTCGTTCTTCGACACATTCAGGACTCCAGTCCCGTGCGATGGCTTTCAATGTCGATTGGGCCTTTAAAATGTGAAAAGGTTCAACATGCTCTTCAGACTGAATCAAAGTAGTTTTAAAGTGTAGAAGAGTAAGGAAGGAAACACGTGTGGTTTCCTCACAGGAGAGGAGGAATGGAACAAAAATATTACAACAGATCAATTTTAATTATCTACTCCACAGCCAACATAACTACACACATACACTCATTACTTCTACAAAGGACATCTGTATCAACGATAATCATTCATCTAGAACACTAGCCCTTTAAAAATTTAAGTTTCCTAAAAATCGCTTGCTAAACGATACTTACATGTTCCATTTCTTGATGGCGTATTTTAGCCACATGTCCGTCTAGGTCTCTCTGGCTCACCGAGGAGCTATCACAGAGTGGATTGTCCACCAACATTTTCTTAATGACTACTTGATTCTTGTCAATACAATCCCTAACAATACTTAAATGGTGTCGGTATTTGGACAGCATTTGTTGATGTCTTTTTGGCAGCGAGTTGAGATAACTTTCGGTTTTGTTGACCTTTGCCAGTGAATATTTGCTGAAATGAAACAAACAATGTTGGTCAATGACTGCAGATTGAGAAGCGTATTTTTTTTTGGCCTACCGATAGAATTTCAAAGCTGATATTATCTTTTGCAGATGTTGCTTTTCCTCCTCTTCCTCCTCGGGGGTTAGCAATGATGGACATGCATCCGCAGACATATTGCTGAGGGAGATCAGCGAGGATGATGAGTGTTTTCTGTTCATATTGTGGCCACCACTACCAGTTGCTACTTCCGACATAACCGAGCACGTTTTCTTTCCTTATATATCCCGAAAAATGTGCAATATGGAAAGATTTATTGGCAAACCCCCGTTATATGGATGGATGTATGGGATTGTTTACTATGTAATGACAGAGGGGGAAGAAGAAGATATGTCAAAATACAAAGATTCGTTAATGGGTGAGTTCGATCACGGGTGGGAGCATTTTTTTAATTATAATCTATTTCCCCTGGCAGAAGAATATTCTTCTACCATGCTATTACCTTTTCAGAAAAGTTTAATTATTTTTTCATCCTATTTCTCCCTATGACAACAAAATTATATATATCAAAGGATTTATTTTTAATATTTCTTTGTTTTTGTTATATAATTTTAATCATGAGGCTAGTGTCTGTTTAAGGTATTATCAGACGAAATGCATTACACGTATGTTCTGTGACATTTATTACCCATGTATATTTCCGTGTGTATGTCAAAATTGCCAATTTACATATGTTTTTTTGCAATGATTACATTTTTATTATAAAATATTTTATAAAAATTTTGAATATATAATTAATGAGTTTTTCGATGCAAATTTTATTTTATACATTTTCACATAACAAACAGAGAGTATGTGGGCCCCTTAGTGATAGAAAAATACAAATGTGATTTACTTAAGTCTAATCTGCATAGATTCCATCGAAAAAGAAGAAATCATAAATGAATGTATTGCAAATTTTTCTATTACAATGATGTACATGTGTACCACGATGTATACTTTTATTAAAACAGTATTATTGATTGATAATTTTAATAAGAAGGTTGTGTCATGACTGTGAAAGAAGGGCTGGACTTACTGTGTCATCTTGTAAATGCACCTTGGCCTTACTCATGTATTTCTCTACTGAAAATGACGTCCACATATTCCACGATATGTATAACATTTACATAAATGATAAATTTAGCATTACATTTGTAAAAACATTCCGTCTAATGGTCCCTTTAGCGGAAAGCGAAATAATAATTGTAAAACGTCAAACATGCCAGCTGGTGTTATCAATCTTCAGTGGATAGCAGTATGTTTATTTTTTTTTCCTCAAATTGTAAATATACATTTTTGTTTTGATTCCATATTTTTATTACTATTTCATTATGTCGCCCATTCGTTTCTAGTATTTCTCCGGAAGAAGCAAACGTTGGAAGTTTGGGACTAGATCCATAATTACTTTGCAAATCTAATAAAAACATTAAATTCTACCAGAAATGTCTGATAATCGAAGACGACGCTATCGTAAACCAAAGGTAAGAATGAATGCAACTTCACTTCCTCATTGTCTCATTGTTCTGATCCCATTTCACAGGAAGAAAAAAAGTTGGAGGTTCAACCGAAAATCTTGCTGAAATCAAAAACCGAGTCGAAAAATGATAACGAAAATACAGCTTCCGGGTCCCATGCAAAACCTCCGGAACAATCCTCGAGCGTCCAGATACCACATAAAACAATAATCTTTCAAAAATCATCTGCCCAGAGCCCGAACATTAGTCCCAATATAACAGTGCAACCACAACCGATTACCACAACGGATGCACAAAACATTGTGGAGCCTGTCTACCAAATGAGTCGACCAGCCACGGTGATATCATCGACGGGCACAATCAATGTGGGAACAAAAAAGCTGCTAATGAAAGCCAACACAGACTTCTTGGTGGTGGGAGTTGTGGGTACTCAAGGTGTTGGCAAATCATCAATTCTAAATCTCTTGGCAAATGAGCAGGAAGATTTCGACTACTATCGCAAGGTGTTTGAGGAGGAAGATTGTATTTTTCCCACCAAGCTGAAGGCTAACAAATGTTCCGCTCGTTCGAGGACTGAATCAACACATCTCTTTATAACATCGGATCGCATGATTTTATTGGATACACCCCCAGTAATGTCGAATGCCTACAAGAAAGATCTGATTAACAACGAATTGGAAGATCTTGATAGCATTATAACCTTAATGTCTGTGTGTCATTTGCTTATTATTGTTCAAGATGATTACTTCAATTTGAGTTTTTTGAACCTATTGAGATTGGCCGAACTAATGAAACCCTCGGCACAGGACATCAAATCGGGATTTCTGTCAGAATATTTCCCCAATGTGATGTTTGTGAAAAATCGGGCCAAACGTTTGGATTTTTCTCCTGCCAACAAAGCCTGTTTGGATCAAATGCTAAAAGCCTTCTTTAAGGATTCCAAATTGCGTATATTTAGAGGTCAAATTAGTGATTCATATCCATTGCCAGCGGCCAATCCATCTACCAATCAGAAAAACAAAAAGAATCGTAACCCAGAAATGGAATGGGAAGTTAATAGTTTCCTATTTCCCGAAGTTGCAGCCGAGACGGCCACCACTTATCATGATTCGATAAGTGAAATTGTACAGAGATTTCGTACACAAGTTTTTACCACACCCCGAAATCCAATGTATTCGGGTCCCACTGAATTGAGTGAAGAAATTTGGTTTGATTGGCTGACAAAGGTGTCGCAGGACAATCATAATTTCTTTTTTAGTACGTACGAATATATACACAGTAAAAATTTGGATGCCGGGGCAAGTGAAAAACTTAGTGGTGGCATTGTGGGCTCTGGTGGTTTTAAGGATGTTGATAATTGGAGAGAATAAAAAACAAGTAAATAAGAAAGAAGATTTTTATTTTTAACATACTTTTAGGCGGACAAAAAGTAGACTTGATAAAGAGGATGAAAAAAGTCAGTGTATTGGAACAGTAGTAGAATATACCGCCGATACGAAGTTGTAAGATGTTCGGAAAGTCTTCGGAGAAGAATGCGGTCGTTGCAAATATGAACTTGTACTAGATGTTGTAGCGAGCACGGATCAGTGACTGATGTTTATACTCTGAGGCACAGAAAAATACTCGAGAATTTGTGGGGACAAAATTTTTTTTAGTCTTTTCGGACCTTATTTCTGGGAAAAAATGTGTCAGGTCTGTCTGTCTATGTAATTTTGTAAACAAAGTACAGGTCACATTTATTGCCCAATCCAGATGAAATTTTGCTCAAGTCATTTGTTTGACCCAAAGACAAACCCTATAGAAATTGGAGATAATCGGTTAAAATTTACATATGACTCTCATATATATCTTCATCCGATTTGCCTTTTATTGTCTACCAAACGTGTAATTTCAGCCCCAAATTAAGCCTGGAAACAAGTATGCCAAATTTGATCGAAATAGGTTCAGATATAGCTATAGCTCCCTTATGAATTTTCATTAATACTTTCTTTAATGGTTTTCATTTTCCAATGTTCGGTCATGTTAATAGAAAGACCCACACCACATCCCCCCAAAAAAAGAAAACTCTTTTGTTTATATTTTTATTTTTTTCATTGAATTTCTTTGTTTTATTTCTTCTTCTTTTTCCATTTCGTCGTAGTTTTTTTTTCTCTCTGGTTTTACTTTAACATAATTAATTTCTTCTTATAATTTCAGATAAACATGTATGTATGTTTGTCGGTTGCTTGTTTGCTTGGTTGGATTTATGTTTTTTTTTGTAGTTCAAAATATTTTGTTAGTTTTACTTTTGCATAGAAGTTTTGTTGTTGTTGCTGTTGTTTATCTTCCTTTGGAAACTTATAAACTAATTGTTGGAGCATAATGCCTTCGGTTTCGTTTAAAAAATGAAAACTGCTAAAAAGTAAGAAATAAAAACAAAAATATATAAAATTATAATAAAAAATACCTTTACAAAAACCATCCATTGAGTGTTGTTTTTTTAATATCGATTTTTTCTGTTTTATTCTATTGTTTTTTTGTTTTATATTTTCTGTTTTGAATTGTGCATTGACCTGGGGAAATTTTTCTTTTTGAAATTATTTCAAAAGAAAAAAATAATTAACAAATTTACAATTTTATTTCTTTGTTTTGTATAAGACTAACAGTTTAACTAGTTTTGTTTTTTTTTAATTTACTGAAATATTTAATGGATTTCGTTACTGTGTTATTTATATTAAAAATTTGTTATACGCTTTTTTTAGACTGTTTTGAAAATTTGTTTGTAATTTTAACTACCCAATGTGTAATGCCGGGGGATGAGTGATGTGTCTGTCAGGGATCAATGGAGGGGATTTGTTTTTGGTATTTATCTTGTTAGACATGTCGATAATGTATGAAATGTTTATTTTTTATGTTGTTGTTAAAGTAATTATCCATCATCATGTTGTTGGTTTTCTTAAAATTTTTAATTTGTTTTTAGTTTTTGTATAATCAAAAATTGAATCACTAACAAGAATTGGAGTTTTATAAACATTGTTTTTGTTTTTTATTATTATTTCGTTTTTTTATTTCTTACTTTAATTTCATTTTATATTCCTATATCATAAATCAGCTACAAGTTTGTATATAATGTGTTGTGTGTATTATATGAATGTTGTTGTTTTTTTTTATTATATATTTTTTATTTCACTAAATTGTTTATAATTATTTTGATCTAAAATGTTAATCATTGAATCGTATTTATCGTTTAATTATTTTTTCTTTCTTATGGTTTTATTTAACAACTAGGCTAGAATAATTTTCTTTTTTTTTATTACTTCTTTGTTAATTCTTTAATATCAGAATCGTAAATGTTTAAATTTACCTTTCAGTTTTTGGTTTTTCTTTCTTTCGAGTTTAAAACACCTCACCATGGAGTGGTGGAGTAGGGTGCAATTTCAAATTCTATTTCATTTTCGTTTGGTTTGTTTTGTTTTTTTTTTTTTTTTTTTGGGGAGGGCGGGGGACATAGAGGGACTTAGTTTTAGCTCCAGTTTATTCGTTTGCTTAAATTCGACTTAAGGCTATTTGATGTATGTATGTTGTTATGAAAGAAAAAACCTTTGATATCAGGTTCCACATGATCATTGTCGGCATTGTAACTCTTTATTTTCTTTTGAGGGACTGACATTCCTGTTATTTTCCTTTTTCATGTTTCTCTGTTATTTGACATTTCATTTTTATATATTTTACAACAAATATTCTTTTTTATGTATGACTATGTGATTGTTTTGTGGTTTTCCATTAAATTATTTAGATGTCTAACTATTTACAAAATTTCCTTAAAATTATTAACTAATATTTTTATGTTCTATCTAACTAGATAAATAACAATGTACAAAAATCTGGGTTTTGTGAGTTGGCGTTCTTCTCTTTTCACAATTATTTTATTTTTTTGTTTAATTCAGCAAAAACAATAGGAAATTTATTTTGTGATTCAAAAATCAAAATAATTAATGATGAATACGCGTGTTGAATGGAAATGGAGGAAAATCACTAAGAAATTAAAAATTTGATTGAAAATATTAAGTGGTTGAAAATCCAAGTAAATTTCAAACATGTCATGGTATAATTTTTATGATATTGAATTTCTTTGTGAGTGAAATGTTTTAAAAAACATTCCACCATGCTGTCATTATTTTGTTTACAAAATTTTATGATAAATTTATGGTAGAAGAATGTCAAAAAATTTTCAAATATAAGTAGATTTTTTACGATGTCAATCGGAGGTTATTATAATATGTCTTTTCAACAATTTTTACAAATTTGAACAATTTTTACGAATTTGAACAATTTTTACAAATTTGAACAATTTTTACAAATTTGAACAATTTCTACAAATTTGAATAATTTTTCATTCAAAAATTTCATTTCCAAAATTGGTTTGACAGTTCACTGTCCCAACAGCTGTGTCGATGCGTCTACTCATGGTAGAAGAATACAGGTAGTCGCATCGACACAGCTGCTGGGACAATGAACTGTCAAACGGATTTTGGAAATCTTTAATGAAAAATTATTGAAATTGATAAAAATTGTTGAAAAATACATATCATTACAACCTCCGATTTACGTCGTATAAGAAAACATATAAAGATATACTTATTTTTGATAAAACACTTTAAAATTTTTGACATATGAATGTACCCAAAAAAGCGTTTTATGTGTTCTCACCTTTAGTGTATTCAAGATTCGTTGCTTTACTTTCCTTCGGTTTCTTTTTTGTGAAAAATGATTATTCGGTGAAAATGTAAAATTGTATTTTTCAAAAGAAAACATTTTAAAGTGCACGATTCTATTAAAAGCTAGATTTTATGTAAACTTGTCACAAAACAAGAACTAGGCAGTGGAAATAAGAAGGCGTGGTAGAAGAATAGAATAGACAATGAGCTGTCAATTTTAGAATTGACTTTTTTGAATGAAAAATTTTTAAAAATTATTGAAAAATTCATATCATAATAACCTCCGATTGATATACACAAACCTACTTATTTTTGAAAAAAAAATTAAATTGTTTGACATATAAATGTTCCCCAATGTTGATGCATCTACCTGTATTCTTCTACTATGTAAGAAGGAAAATATTAGACTATGTTTACATAACATTGCATGATAATGACATGTCATGGTAGAAGAATACCAGAAGTCACATCGACACAGCTGCTGGGTCAATGAACTGTCGAACCAATTTTGGAATTACATTTTTTTAACGAAAAATTATTCCATTTTGTAGAAATTGTTGAAAAATGCGTATCATAACAACCTCCGATTGGTGTCGTATAAGAAAACTTATAAAACTCTACTTATTGTAAAAAAATTATTGACATATTAATGTTCCCAAGCGTTGATGCATCTACCAGTATTCTTCTACCAGGGTCTTACATTTTTCTTATCGGACAGTTCATATTTAAATGAACCTTGTAATAACGAAAAACGATTTATTTGTCCGACAACATCATTTTTTATCTATCTGATGTAATTACCGGCCATCAAGTATATGAATGAATATATATGCCACATGGGTCACGGGTGAGTAATGATTATGACAAATAGCGTGCATGTAAACGGAGTATAAAAAGCACGACTTAACAGGCGTTTGAATGTCCCATTAAAACGTGCAATATATGCCGCAGAGTGGAAGTGAGAACCAAAGAAAATGTCAAATTTTCAACAGCTCTCTCTTTTAAATTTTTACCATAACATACATTTAATTTTTGTGTGGCAAAATTAAAATAATATTTAGAAACAATTGAGACTTGTCTTTTCCGTTTTCTCTACTCATTTGTTTTGTTGTAAAAAAGGATGATTTTTTTAAGTTTTTTTTTAATAATTTCTATTACAATTGCCTTTCTTTTGTTTGTTTTTTTCGCATATTGTATTTCTTGTAATGTCTACGTTTTACACAATTATTTGCATCTGCACAGCAGAAAAAATGTATTACTAACAAATATTACATGGGGTTTGCTGTTTTTTTCTTTCTTTCAAATATTTATATTACATTTAATAATATTTACTGTTAATATTGTTTTTTTTTTTTTTCTTTCTTTTTGCAGTACCAGAAATATTTCTATTTTACTTAATTTGATTTCTTTTTTCATTTAATGTTAACGCAGTGGATCATATTTGTTGCTTTCTATTTTTTTTAAACTACATAATTGTGACTGTTAGTTTAATGAGAGAGTTAGTAAGTGAGTGAGAGAGAGAATAGATCATTGAGTAATGGAATTTATTAAATGACGTTTATACGATGCAGTTAATAAAACAATAATGAATCATATAAACGTCATTCTTGTTGTAGACATAGAGTTTGCATTTTTTGTTTTGTTGTTGTTACATTTGTTTCTGTGATGATTGTAAAGAGTACAGCTAATACAAGAGTATATTATTTGAATAGTTAGTTGGTTTTTCTTTTAAGAGGAATTGTGTGTGAGAGAGAGATAGAGGAAGGAATTCTTTTACATTTGTTGTAATAACGGCGATGGGAACAAGAGACAGTTTAGTTTCGTTTTTAACTATTTGTGTAAAAAACATTTGTGCTATTTGTTGCTTTTTCTTCGTCTTCTTCGGTTTGGTTTTCTTTTGTAAAAATTATTGGGTATTATTTTCGTTTATTTACAATTAAAATCAGAGAAAAATGTATTTAACAAATAACACTTATGAAATAGAAAGAGAAATCCAGAAATAGAGAGAGAGAGAGAGGGAGAGTTTTTGTAAAACACTTTGAGATGGAATCTAAGGTTATAAATAAACACTCTTAGATTTTATTAAATGCATTAACATACCTGAAATATTTTTTATTATTTTTTTTTTGTTTTTTTTTCTCTATAATTTTCATTTGTTGTAATCTGTTTGATTTTATGTTTGTTGTTGTAATAATTTTAATTGTTTATATGAATTGTATTTCGTTAGAGTACTGTATACGTATGCATGTGTTTGAATGTTTATTGTGTCATAGTTACTGTATTGTTTTTATGTTTTTGTTTTGGAATTCGTTTTGGGGGCAATTTTTTAATACCTATGTTTATAGAATGTTTTGTTTTGTAAAGCATAAATGTATGTATATGTATATATGATTCTTTTATATGTATATATAGCATGTATAATACGTATTTATATGTATGTATATTTCTTTAAAATATATAAATGCATATAACCATAAATTGTTGAACGAGAAACAGATATTTGTGAAAAAATATGAAATCATTGTACTTCACAAAATAATAAATGCAAAACATTTAAACAGGTCCTGCAAAACCTCTTCTACAAAAAGAGAGAATTCCCTTTAAAGGCTTGTTTACATATAATAAATCCACTAGATTTATTATGTGTTATGGTAGAAGAATGCAGGTAGTCGCATCGACACAGTTCCTGGGACAATGAGCTGTCAAACTGATTTTGGAATTGAAAATGTTGAATGAAAAATTATTGAAATTTGTAAAAATTGTTGAAAAATGAATATTATAACAACCTCCTACTGGCGCTTATAGATGCTTTATCTGAAGTAATTTTCTCCTTATTTCATTGTAGATGAACACAATTAGTCACATCGACGCAGTTGCAGGGACAATGAACTGTCACACAAATTTTGAAATTGAAAATTTTGAATGAAAAAAAAAAAAAAAAATTGTTGAAAAATTTATATCATAACAACTTTCGATTGGTTTATACGATACCAATGAAAGAAAAAAATTTTGACATATTCATGTTCCCAAGCGTTGATAGATCTACCTTTATTCTTTTACCATGTCTTATTTATAAATTCATGATACGTTTACATTGTACTAATTTTGGTAAACCTAGAGGATTTACTTCTAAATTTTGTTCTACATATATGAAATGAATATTAACAAAATTTGGTTAGCCCAGATAATGATCTATCGAAATAAGGTTAAGTACCGACAGATTCAAGTTTTTTTCTTTCATATCTTCTACGTCCAAAAACCAATCATATGCCTTCCAACGAAAATATCGGCTGCAAAAAGCTTAAATGTAAACTTGGTATCAGTTCCCTGTGAACTTGCATTAGCCATAGAAATGCCCATGGTAGAAGTAGCATCGAAACCGCTGCTGGTAATATGAACTGTCAAACTAATTTTTAAATTGAAAATTTTAAATGAAAAATTATTGAATTTTTTAAAAACTGTTGAAAAATTTTACAACATCCGAAGAATTTGTTGGGAACGAAATCGGAAAATTATTAAATTCATGCAGCAACTGCAAACTAGTATATATACAGAAATAAAAAAATCTCTAAAAATTAGTCCGGGTTGAACATATGTATGAGAATTTTTTTGTTGTACATTCAATGGAATTGTAAATTTGAATTAACGCGGTTTATTAAATCCAGCATAATGTAAACGTACTACGCAAACCCCAGTATCGAACAATAAAATTTTAGTCATGTATTCCCCATAACCTAAAGCCATATTAACATATTTACTTCAAGGCTGCTTTACTCTGACACCTTAATTATGATTTTTACGAAAATACGTCATTTATTTGACAATCTAAAGTAAGCGTTTTATGAAAACATGTTCGGTGTTAATGGGGCTTTTTCCAAGTAACGTAATCTCTTATCATTTAGGTAATATGCACGAGTCAACATCTTCTCCGGGGATACATTTCTCAGCTTTTGGGCAATAAAGTTAAAAAAAATAAAAAGCGCTCCATGTTTTACGAATGCTCTGTTGCAGAACCTGCAAGAATCTACTTGCTTTGCAATTGTTTTTTAGATATCATAAGTGGAAAATCGCTTATTGGAGTAAAAAGTTTTACATTCTTGCAGTACTGGAACAGACCACACATTTAATTCATCTGACTGTTTTCTGAGAAACAAATTTGGAAATTAAAAAAAAAATGTTTTTATGTATTGTTTATATTAAATGTATATTTACAAAATTATTATTTTAAATACTATTTCTTAGCATATATCACTATTTACAGTTGTATGCATTTAAATATAATATAAAATTGAACTTTATTTGATTTTTGTTGTTCTTCTGTTTTTTTTTTTTGCGAGAAAAAACAAAACAATTTCTTTTAGCTCGCCGTAATTTGTTTGCAAATGTTTATGATGGTGTTTTGTATAGTAATTTGGTTGTTGATGTTGTTGTTCTTTGTTTACTGTTTTATTTATAGACGTCACAAAAATTTGTTATTCCACGTTTGACATTTCGCAACGGTATTCATAATAATAATTTTTGAATTTTGTTTGGTTTAGTTTTTTTTTTGATAAATGCTTCCAATTTCCTTTTGGTGTGCGATAACATTTTATTTTTCTTCATCTGGCTTGTTTTTGATTTTTGCTAAATTAGATTTTTTTTGTATTTTTTTTTCACATATTATATAACAAACAATAATTAAATAATAAAAATAAATCAGGGGAATAATATTGTATATTGCAATATATTGATAAATCAAGAAAATCATTGAATTTATTGTGTGGCCATGCTACTTTAGGATTAGGCCAAATGTCATTATGTTCTCTTGTTTTGTGTGGCCATTCATTAGGTATTGGCCGTTACAAAGAGTCGAGAAGAATTATTACAATATACCATATTATACCATTTCTAAATTATAAAAAAAATATCATAAATTAAAATAAAACAATACTTAACGTAACTAAACATAGTTATTTTCATAAGCAAATGGCAACATTTAACTTAATAGTAACATCAAATCCATCAGAATAATAATACATGGGTGTTTGCGTGAGATAGAGAGTGAGAGTTTTCCTTAGAGAGAGACAGGGAAGAAATCATTAGAGCATTGCACACAAAACAATACGGAGCCAGTAATAACCAGTGGTAAAGAGTGTGAGCACGAAAACGATTTCATTTAAAAAGAGATTCCAATAAAGAGTTGGTGTTGTTGTTTTGTTTAATATCTCTTGCATGGTGTTGTTGTTGTTTGTATTGTTTTTTTAGAAGTATATTTTGTGTGTATGAGAGTGTATAAAGAAGTTTTAGCTAGGGTTTGACAATTGCCATGAATAACGGTCATCAATTTGAATTAAGTGGCCTGGCCATACATCAGTTTGGACTAACATATCATTCCATCATTCCATCATATCATCATTTGTTTACATTCAGAAAATAGTTTGTTCTGTTCTTGAGTGATCTCATAATTGGACCTTAATGACTTGAAAGAAAATTGAGTAACTCTTCTGATGTATGACCAGGTTTCTTACAAATTTAGGTCTGTAACCCCAGTTGTTTTTTTCATAATGCGTGAATGAATGACTGAGTAAATGAGGTTTTGAGGTTGTCACAATTGTAACTCCACTACATTTTTTCGTATCTAATAACAGTTAATTTCTATCATAAAACACATAAAGAGGGGATAGCTAGAAGATATGAGAGACAGATAGAGAGAGAGGCTAACAAAATACACTCTAAAAATTACACTTAAATACGTTTTCTTGTTTTCACAGCTCTGGCAGCAAAAAATTAAACAACTTTCAGCAGCTAGCTAACAATTTTTTAACAGCAATTATTTCAGGATTTTTGCAGCAAGGTGTCCAAGGTGCTCAAAAATATCAGGTAAATGGAAGTTGGAGGACATGACAGGACATATCTCTTCTTTAATTTGAAGGAATAAAACATAGTTTTACTCATCTTCAAATAAATTGGAAAATCCTTCTCCTTTGTCACGAAGAAAATTTTCCTTATTTTCCACAGATTTTTACTAAAAATATCCATTGTTTTCCAATTCCCAGCAATGTTCTTTGCAAATAATATGGTGTTTGTATGCCGCACCTTTGCCCTGCCAGCCAATTTCCCTTGTTGTTTTCCAGGTTTGAACTAAAAATATAGCTTTTTTCCAATTTCCAGCAATTGAGAGGTTACATTTGTGTTTTTCTTATCATCATCTTTATCATCATTATTATTATGAGGAAACCGTTCCTATTTTGCCGCCACCACTTTGGTTACCTTTTACCAGCCACCAAATCCAAGCCGAGTCGACCCACCATTCATCTACCATGTGGCCACATAAATGGTCTGGACTCGCTTTCCTGTGTCGTTTGGTGACCCCTCGGCAGTGGGGCTAAATTTTTATGACGTCTCTAAAAATCATACTTTGAATGTTTTTTCACGACGTTGCTGTTGTCGCTGGTGTTGTTGTTGCTGCTGTTGTTGTTGTTGCTGCTGATGATGATGATGGTGACTGCTGAGGCCACCATTGCCCATGCTACCGGTACTGGGATAACCTGCATGATCATCACAGGCATACGAGGCAATGCGATGATCACTGCGACTCCTCTCACGATCATGGCTACGCTCACCACGGTGATGGTCACCCGTCAACATGCCACCATTTCGATTCAGTTTCAAATTAGTCGCCTGCTGAGACTGGGAACGACGGTTGCCGAGCCGTTTCAGCTCGTAGTCTCGGGCATCGGCCACATCAAAGGTGGCCGATCTTTGCTGATATTTGGTTGTTGAACTTGAGGAGGTGGATATATGTGTGGATCTGGCTGGTTGGACCGTGGCATGGTGGTGTTGCGGTTCATAGGCACCCGGACAGTATTCGTCGTATTCGTGTTCATCACATTTGTTGGCGTTGTAGGTCACCGATGATTCACGCGGCTCTCGGCCACTCGAAGAGGAACGTTGATGCTTTTTGGGCGGTAAGGGGATGGGGGCGGCACAGGGAGTATTTGCCAACGCTACGGCCGAGGTGGTGGATGCTGTGGTGCACTTGGTGCGCCTCACAACATCTACACCTCCGCCGCAGCAGGCGCATTCCTACAACTCCGTCACCGAGTACATGTCGTTGTTGGCCTGGGAGCCACCACGTTTGAGGGAGCGATAATAGAGCTGTTGTTGGTGTTGGGCCTCGGCCAGCAGTTGTTGTTGCTGCAATTGCTGCTGCTGTTGCTTGGCGGTCAGGCTGCTGCTGCTGCTGTGATGGAAATTGTTGTTGGGCGTGGTGGCCGGCCGAAAGCTGGGAGGCGCCTGACCACTGTCATAAGAATGTTGCTTCTTGCCATGCGAGTCCATGTAGGCCGCATTTGACCGGGCATTATCCAAGGTTTCCGAACGTCGTACACGTTCGTGCTTTTCGCGACGTTCGCGTTCCCGGTCGCGATCCCTTTCGGGTTCATAAGAAATAATGGGGGCACTTTGTTGTTGCCTTAGGCTACTGGATTTGGGGGGCAAGGTTTGCAGAGCTTGATTGGAGTTGTGCTCACGGCTTTTGTGGCGATTTTTGGGTGGCAAACTAGGAGGTTGAAGTTGTTGTTGCTGTTGTTGAGTGGGTGCCTGAAGTTGCAGTTTGTTTTGTTGAGGCCTCTGCAGCGAGCGATACTGATTCAGATTGGCTGCACACAAAGGCTGGGGTGAAATCTTCGAGGGAGGCTGTGGCGTCTGGGTGGGTATATCGGGCAAGGGTTGATTTACAATGGAGTTGGGATTGAGCGAGCGGGGCAAGGGTAAGAGAGGCGTGGCTGCCGAATTGCTGCTTGCCGAGCTGGGCTGGGGAGGCAAAGGTCGGGAGGGAATGGTTTGAGTGGGAGGTGGAGGTGGTGGTACTGCTGTATCTTGGGCTTGTAGCTGTTGCTGTAATTGTTTTTGTTGCTGCTGCTGAAGTTGTTGTTGTTGTTGGAGTTGCTGCTGCTGTTGTTGTTGTTGCTGGAGTTGCTGCTGTTGTTGCTGCTGCTGATACGTTGAGCTTTCAATGCTGTAGACGGCAGACGGTGGCAAAATATGAGTGGTCGGTGGATGATGTTGCACTGGCAATGGCCTCTGTTGGACTGTGGGAGTTGCCGGCACCGGTTGGATCTCCTGTAATTGATATTGCTGTTGTTGTTGGTGGTGTTGCATTTGCATTTGTTGTTGCTGTTGCAGCTGTTGTTCTTTGGCATAAATACTGCCCACGCCTGTGGTACCCGGTATCTCGGTGAAGGTGTTCTTGGGTTTTGGTGGAGGCAGTGGCGGTGGCGGAGGTTGGACCGCTTGAGACGGTGGCACAATAACATCGGTTGCACCGACATTATACGACTGGGGTATACAATCCGGTTGGGGACAATAATCTTTGGAGACCGTAGCAATCGAGGGTGTCTTGGCACTGCGTAGATTCGGCGAAGGACTGGTGCCGCGCAGGGAACCACCATAGCGGACACCATGTGGCCGACCCAGGGTGGCACATTTATTCGCCGTGGCAGCGGCCAAGACATTCAGATTATTGTTACCCCTCACCGCCTTGGGTCCGATGCTTATGTACTTGGGATCGAAACGATTAAAGCTATTATTCGAAACATCCCTGGGATCCTTGTCGTCATCCAAATCCAGACCATTGCCAGTTGAACGACACACCGTGTTGGTGGTCTGCGCCGACAGCACTGAACGCAGCGAAGAGCCCGCCGAACGCGGCAGCGTGGCCGAGGCGAACATACTCTTAATCGAATTTCTTCCCAACCCATTGATGGTGGATGTGGTGATGCTGTTAAGTCGAATACTGCTACTGCCTGCATTGGAGTTGCAGGCAAGCGAATCTCAGTAAAATCGTTGGCTTCCAAAGTCTTACATTGTTTGCTGAGGGTGGCGTATTTGCCGTTGTTGGGTCCCGCCAGATAACTCGATTGTTGATGGGATGGTAGCCGTCCCAAGGTGTGATGACCCGAAGAGGATCTAGAGAGAGGGAGAGAGAGAGAAAACATTATTAAATTCCCCAACCATGAGTGAGAAAAAAATGTTTGCGAATTTGAGGTTATGGATTGAATTCTCTTAACAATAATGAATGCTTAATCCCTGCCAAGTGATATGCAAAGTAAAAACAACCAACAAAATGCCAAAAAAATAAAACCAAAAAAATTAAAAAGTTAAAGTACCACCAAAAAGCAGTGTTTATTCTCTCGATATGTATGTATTTTTTGAGGTTATGTGTAAAAAAATCAACATTACAAACAATAAATGGACAATTAAAATGTTAAACTTTTTTTTTTTGGCGAACATCAACTTCAACAAATGTGCGAATATATATGTGTGTGTGTATAGGTATGTATGTATGCATTTTATGGGTCATGTGAATGTAAACTTGTGCGTAAAGGCCTGGATTAAATGGTGCTTATGGATCATATGTTTGCTGGCTGGCTGATGAGGCAGAATAGTTGGGTGGTGTTGGGGGTAAAGGAGGCTGGTTGAATGGGTTTCAGCTTTCCTTTTTTTGTCAATACTAACAATATGAAAATGTATATGTGTGTGTAGATATGTATAATCGCGTGTAATGCAATATGTATTTGTTGCCACCTCAATATTGTTTTTTATTCTTTTTTTTTAGTGCATTATAGGTGCTGGAGGTTCTGGTGGTGGTTGGTGTAGGTGTGTGCGTGTGAATAATGCATGAATGAATGGCGGGCTTTTTGGCTGATGCTGTGACTCCCCGGCGGGTATGAGGTTACAAATGAAAGTGTGCCTACCGGTGGTTAAATAAATATTTATCAACTTGAGCAAAAGGTATTTGCATAGCAATATTTGTTATTGTACAAAAAGGAACACACAGGCAGACATACATATAAATACATGTAGGGATATGAACATATACACTCCAGATCCAGAATGTGATGTGTATAAACATTTGTACCAATACCCACACACACACGCACACATAAAAATAAGAACGCAATTAATTGAGCATAAATGAAGAGGAAAACAATATTAAATTCAACGAAGTCTATTCGGAAATTCTGGTATATTTAACAGTGAAGGATTAATGGCGAGAATACATAAAATGCTTTTTTGACTGGCTTAAGTCATTGGCTGGCTGCTTTGGAAAAGGAAAAAGAAGCGTAGGACCAACATCGAACTAAGTCAACCTAAAATTCCTTTGTTCCTCTAAGAAGAAGCCACCTTAAGTGAGGAGCATAGTTTTTGAAAGTGTTTTTTTTTTATAACTTTCAACATGTAATGGAAGGAGGTGCTAAAGCTGCCATCAGACGATAAGGGTTTTACATATGTAGTGTCAAATTTTCCATATGTAGAAGATGCACACATTGTATGATACATGGACGACATTTGAATTTTGAAATACATATGTACTTTTTCGATCACAGCGAACCGTATTTTATCGTCTGATAGCAGCTTAAAGGTGGGAACACATAAAGCGCTTATTTTGCTGGCTTCTTCGGAAATTAACAAAGGAGCCTAGGGCCAACATCGAACTAAGTCAACCTAAAACACCATTGTTCAAAGACCTAAAATGGTAAAGACTGGACAAAATGCATAATGGAAAAATAGTTAATGTGAAAAATATATAGAGGCGCTGCCCACAACAGTGACATGTTAGCATAAAAATTATATTTACAGAGCAATTTTAAGAATAAAATTTTCTGTAAACCAAAAATTTGAACTAAAAATCGCATTTTACTGACGTTTGAAAATTGCATTTGCTGTTAACATAACTTAACATTGATGATTATGTTGTTATGATATCGTAACAACAGAGGCAAATACCCCTGGTGACAATATTTTGACTCTGACTTGTCCTATCTTTATACTTCTATGTCTTTGCATTGTTCCTCAACGATAAAGTCAACCAAAGACTTAAGGTAGGAATACATAAAGAGCTTATTTGGCCAACTTAATAGTGGGAATACATAAAGAGCTTATTTAGCTGGCTTAAGTCATCGGCTGGCATCTTCGTTGATGAACAAATCAAAGACCTAAAATGGTAAAGACTGGACAAAATGCATAATGGAAAAAAAGTTAATGTGAAAAATATATAGAGGCGCTGCTGTTAGCATAAAAATTATTTTTACAGATTTTTACATTTTCTGTAAACCAAAAATTTGAACTAAAAATTGCATTTCACTGACGTTTGAATATTGCATTTGCTGTTAAATCAACTTAACATTGGTGATTATGTTGTTATGATATCGTAACAGCAGAGGTATTTACACCTGGTGACAATATTTTGACTCTGTCTTGTCCCATCTTTATACTTCTATGTCTTTGAACAAATGAGTTTTAGGTTGACTTAGTTCGATTTTGGCCCTAGGCTACTTTGTTCATTTCCAAAGAAGCCAGCCGATAACTTAATCCAGCCAAATAAGCGCTTTGTGTATTCCCACCTTTAAGCCGGCCAAATAAGCGCTTTATGTATTTCCACCTTAAGTCTGTCATTTCTTTAAACCCCTATACAACAATTTGTAAATGAACGCCTGAACATGGTAGAAGAATACAGGTAGTCGCATCGCCCCCTTTCCACCCTTTTTAACCATTTTCTTGTATAGTTTTCATGGAAAAGTTAATTTTTTGCAACAAAACCTATGGCCGTTGATTCGAATCTGTATCAATGCCGGCATTTTGAAAATAATTTTTGAGGTTAAGGTCTTTTTTTTTTTTGGTCCAATATTATGACATAAATTTGTTTGTTGGAGCCGGTGTTAGCATAGGAAATATTCTACATAGAATTCCACCATATGTCTTCAAAGAAGAGAAATCGGAGGATCGTATAGATATGCTACAATTTCTCTACAAGTAAGGGCAATTTATAGGCTTTGCTTATAACATAACCTAGGAGCCATGGAAGAATATAGTTAGTTGCATAAGCTACTGGGACAAAGCAATTTTGAAATTGAAATTTTTGAATGAAAAATTCTTCAAATTTGTAAGAATTGTTAAAAAATTCATAACCACCTCAGATTAGCGTCCTATAAGAAAACATTTAAAAATCTATTTATTTTTGAAGAAACATTAAAAAATTTTTGACATATCAATGTGTTGATGCATCTACCTGTATTCTTCTACCATGCTAGGAGTTTTACAATTTAATTCCTCAGTTTTTCTCTCAGAAGAGTGAGAACGAACAAAGAACGGGCGAAAATAGAGAAACAACTAAAATGACAATTTTTAATAACCATAAGCAGTCCACCATGATCGCAACAACAAAAAAAAATTAAACGTAAAAAATGACTGATCATTTTTCCCCTAGTAGCTGTTTTCACAATGCCTCTCACAGTTCGCTCTCCTTTTAACTAGCCGTTTTCTGTGACATCAATTAAACAAAACTCACATAGAAAAAAAAAAAAACAGTGAAGTTAGTGGCGAGACACAAATCTAACTAATCAAGGGAACCCTAAGTCGACTTTTGGAATGGCAAACAAAGATGTCAAGGGATACCTAATTCGACTTTGGGAAAAGTTAAACAAAGGCATAAAATGGTGGAGACTGACAAAATTCATTTTGAAAGCAGAGTTTATGTGAAAAATATGTAAAAGCGCTCCCCATAATAGGGGCATATTAATATTAATAACATAGTTATAGAACAAAATGAAAGATTTATTGAAAAATCGCAACATTGACTTTTTGTAATAGGAATACGATTTACGTGACGAATACGCTATAAAGTTGACATTTGAAAGCGAGAGGGTTTTGTAGCCTAATGCTCTGTTCCAGAACCTGTAAGAATTTACTAGCTTTGCAATTTTTCCGATATAAAAAGGCTTTTCTGGAACCAACCATCAAATCAAATCAGGTTTTAGCTGATTTGACAAAATCGAAAAGTCGATTTCATCTTTTTGTTGAAGGCATTAACCCAAAATTCTAAAAGTTGACTTTTGTTTCTCACTACTTGTCCCTAAATCATCACCAACAACTCAAATTAATTTCGCACAATTGAAATTCCACCTCAATTATTCTGAATTATAATCTCAAATGATTCCACACAACCTATACTGCCAACATTTAAGCCCATATAAAAACCTAATGGGATTATATACTTGAATTCATTTCACCTGGTAATCTCTCACCCTAAGTACTTGAGCCTATATCCTATGCAATGGAAATCGAATATAATCCATAAAAAAGGTAAAAAAAATTAAAAATAAAAAATAAAATAAAAAAAAACTTAATAAAAGCCATGCCTTGTGCCATGCACCACAACATCATAGTGTGGCGGCGGTGAGGGCGATGATTTGCCACCACTGCCCACTCCGCCACCCTGTATAGTGTTAGTTTTGTGATGAGCATGATGAGTGTTGTATGATGCGAACCCTGTTCTCAATCCGTTGGCGGTGCCATTGCTGCGTGTTGCCCCACCCAATGTGCCGCTGGAGCCCACACCCATGCCATGGGCCTGTTGATGGTGCAGCAGGGTACGATTCAGGGTGCCGGTGTGATGGGCTGGCGCTGTGGGTGAGATATTGGCACTTGGTGCATTCGAGGGGAATAGGGGGGCGGTTTCCGATTTATCGGCATCCAGAGAAGGCCTGAAAAGCAGAGAGAGAGAGATTAATAACAGATTTCAAATGAGGTTAGAATGAGTGACCTACCTCCTCTTGCTTAAATAAATCCAAGCATGTGAATCAGCATACACCAATATGGTGAATAAAAATGAGGTAAGCAAACCGGCCACCATCATGAGACTGAGGCCCAGCAGGCCACCGCCACACAAACCCTTCAGGGCCTCGGAGTAGTGGCGATCAATGGCCCGCCTGTCCAGGGTGGCGGATAGAACGGTGAGATTGCGTTTGGTTTCCTCCAAATCATTGTCCATGGCTTGCAGGGTTTTGTGCACATCAATGCGGGGATAGGTTTCCTGGCTCATTCTGTAACAGCAATGAAACATAAATTAAATTGGTTGCAATGTAAAAAATCTCAATATTATTTACCTTTGTATTAAAGAGACAGATTCTCTGGCCCGTTCCACCAAATCTCGAGATTCATTTAAGCGTAAAATAAAACGATTACGCAAAGTTCCACAGTTAAGGAAGTAGACATAAGGACTTCGCTGAAAAGAGAAATAGAAAAAAAGTTTTGAAAAAAAAATTCAATAATTCTTGTTAGTTTTTGTAAGTCTCAAAAGAAAAAAAAAAAACAAAGTTTTGAAAAAAAATTCAATAATTCTTGCAGTTGTTGTAGGTTTTAGAAGATTTGCTGGCGAAAAGTTTCAACAAACATTTGCCAAATGTTCTCAGGCCGGTCTGCCAGCCAGCCAGCCAGCCAGTAGCATATTAAAATACCAAGGGACATAATGCACATTATCACAGCCACCAACTTCAACTTGTCTATGAAATGGCCACACACAAATAAAATGCAGTTGAGGGTCCATAGAACGAACCCTTGGGCAAATGGGAGTTTCACAGTTTTGTTTCGAACAAAATTGTGAAACCCCTAACGCCAAAGTTTTTTTTGCCGGCACTCGAACAACATTTGTGCAATTTACAGCATGTTGGTTATGTTTATTGGCCATAAGCCAGCCAGCCAGCTAACTGGCTGGTATGCAGTCCAGGAAGACAAATTCCAAAATAACCCCCCCCCCCAAAAATGTGTGCGGTTGATTGTCATTTCCCTGTTTTTGGTTGATTCCATTAGTAACGAAAAACCAGGGGGGGAACTAGTTGAGTTATAATGGTCAAGCAGGGGTTTGGGGACTTCAAATTGAAAAGTTGTTTTTAATATGAAATCTCTGGAAAGGGGGAGGAAAATCTCCACAGGGTACCACTTTTTGGGGATTGCAAAAAAATTAGGAAATTTGACATTTTATGAAACTTATTCGAATGTATGAACATAGGACTTGAACGAAAACATTCTCCAGCATGTCTGAGTACGGACTTGAAGTTGGATATAGGTTTCTTAAAAAACACTATGCCGACCGGCTGAGGAATAGGTTTTCTTTAAGAAAACTCTATTCAGCTGGGCTGAGTTTAGGTTCTCTTCAAGAGAACTTTATTCAACCTGGTTGAATAAAGGTTCTCCAGAAGAGAACTCTATTCAGCCCGGCTGATTATAGGTTCTCTTGAAGAGAACTCTATTCAGCCCGACTGAATATAGGTTCTCCTGAAGAGAACTCTATTCAGTACAGCTGAATATAGCAGGGCTGAATATAGGTACTCTTGAACTCTATTCAGCCAGGCTGAATATAGATTTTCTTGAAGAAAACCCTATTTAGTCCGGCTGAATATAGGTTATCTTGAAGAAAACTCTATTCAGCCCGGTGAATATAGGTTCTCTTGAAGAGAACTCTATTCAGCCCGGCTAAATAAAAGTTCTCTTGAAGAGAACTCTATTCAGTCCGGCTGAGTTTAGGTTCCCTTGAAGAGAACTCTATTCAGCCCGGCTGAATATAGGTTCTTTTGAAGAGAACTCTATTCAGCCCGGCTGAATATAGATTCTCCTGAAGAGAATTCTATTCAGTCCGGCTGAATATAGATTCTCCTGAAGAGAACTCTATTCAGCCCCACTGAATATAGATTCTCCTGAAGAGAACTCTATTCAGTCCGGCTGAATATAGATTCTCCTGAAGAGAACTCTATTCAGTCCGGCTGAATATAGGTTCTCCTGAAGAGAACTCTATTCAGTCCGGCTGAATATAGGTTCTCCTGCAGAGAACTCTATTCAGCCCGGCTGAATATTGGTTCTCCTGAAGAGAACTCTATTAAGCCCGGCTGAATAAAGGTTTTCTCGAAGAAAACTCTATTTAAATATTCGGAATATAAAAAAATCAATTCAGCTGTGCTGAATTCTAAATTCTGGGAAGCGCCTAAAAGTATGCTACAAAAATGCTGCAAATAATTGTGCAGAAAGTCACTTTACATATGACTCCAACATTATGTGTCGTACAGCCTTTACTTACCATGCCAACCTGTCGGCACATATACTCATGCGGACGCATACAGAAATCACCTGCTGCCACCGATGAGGCCAGATACACCCCGGCCAGTAGCCAGCACAAAATAATGCAGAAGAGCCCGGCCACACTAAAGAAGATTAAAGCACAGCGTGAACGTCGGGCCACGCCTATAACCAAAACTGTACACAACAATAGCAGGATTGTGAGGAAACCCAAGGTGGCCGGCCATCGTATCGATTCGTAGAGTTCGCCCAACTGGAAAAGAAGATAAGTGAATTAATTTTCCGGAAATATTCAAAAAAAAAAACCTCCAAAATATACTTACATGCAACAGACCCATCAGGGAGGTGTCATTCTCACTGCCCTTGGTCTTCATGAAATACAGCACCATATTATCCAAGCTGGTGACCGCTCGTGAGGTATTCTCACGTACCAGACCGCATGTTTCAATTAGCAGCATTACGGCCGTTTGATTGTATTGGACTTTTTCGATTTGGGCCTCAATGCGATGTTGAAGCATTTTCGTTTCGAGATCATTTTTAATGGCTTCAGTCTGCAAAAACAAAGAAAAAAATGAATAATGAATAATAAGAAGAAGCATAGAGATTATGTTGATGGAATTCATTAAAAAATTTTCGCCTTAGTTTAATTAGTTTTAATAAATATAGTCGACGGCGGAAAGTTTCATAAACAAACAATTATTAATATTCCAGTGTGGGTGAGAGTGAGAGAGAACAGCCAAAACACAAACATATACGAAACACGGTTTCCGGCAAAAATTATGAATATTAAAGTGGGTCATGTTTCGTCATAAGAAAAAAGAGATCGAATTGGGAGAAAGGAGACAAAAATGTTCCAAAAAGCACTCATCTGTTTTAAAATAAAAGAGAGAAGAGTAACTACAGGTTTGTCTATTAAAGGAAATAAGTCAAAAACCGAAGAGAGGGAAAGAAACTCCCGATTTATGGGTCTGGTTAGAATGGGTCTGATTTCCACATAAGAAAAAAAGATAGAATTTAGAGAAAGAAGTCAAAAATGTTGCAGAAAACTCTCATCTGTTTAACAATCAAAGAGAGGAAGAGAAACTCTCGTTGTTGCTCAGATCAGAAAAAGATTGAATTGATGGAAATAAGATGGAATAAGACAAAGACCCGATTTATGGGTCTGGTTTCGACTTGACAAAAAAGAGATAGAATTAGGAGAAATGAGTCAAAAATGTTCCAAAAAGCACTCATCTGTTTTAAAATTAAAAAGAGGGAGCAAAACTCCCGGTTTGTCTATTGCAAATCTGTTGCTCAGATCAGAAAATGAAAGAATTAAGTGAAATTAGTCAAAAATAATCCAGAAACCCCTCACCTGTTAATCAAAGAGAGCGAGAGACAATCTGAGAAAAAACTGTTGCTCAGCTCTTTGAGATTCTAAGTGGTTTTGGAAGAACATTTTACCAAGATATTTAGGCATGAAAAAGGTTCTGAAATTGAAATTTTGAAAAAAAGGTTTAATACTGATTAAGACCCTAGTCCTTGCAGACCAAGTTCTCTACAAGTCCAGTTAATAAGATCAGATACCTATTTATTTATAAAATTGTGAGTCTTGCTAATTTTCTTTCTCTCTCTCTCTCTCTCTTTATCTTAACTATTTCTAAACTAAAATCATTTTTTCACAAATCTTTGCTTATCTACCCACCCTAATACACCTTTGCTCTTTTGTGTAGACCGCGTGTATGTCTGTGTGTGCCCAAATAATTATCTCAAGTTTTAATAACATAACATTTAAGGCATTATTAAATGCAACTTCATATAGGTGGGATACAACATTTCACAGAGTAAACACACACGCACACAGTTGATACTAAAAGTATGCAACAGACATACAATCAAACTCAAAAGAGAATAGCTCTCTCTCTCTCTCAAACAATCCACAATGTTTACCAAGGAAAATTACGAAAGAAAGCTTCATTTTTTAACAATTTCTTTTTTTACAAAATTTCCTTTTTCCTTTATTGCCAGATGTGTGTACACTTTGTCCATGTAGTGTACATACGTGTCCCCACAATGTATGTATGGACGTTTTAATTGTTGTTGTCATCATATTTTCTTATAATATGGTTCTTGTTGTTGTTAAATAGCGGCATTTGTGACAGCGCTTTTGTTAATTAAAGATTGTGAAGATTAAATGCGTGTGAGCGGGGGTGGTCACAGGCTATGGAGGAAGCAGCCGTAGAAGGAAACTACTAAAACTCTGCTTAAAAGTCATTAAAGTAAAGTAATATAAAGTTAAATACGGAAAGCCAACGCCAGAGAGAGGGAGGGAGAGAGAGCGAGAGACAGACCATCATAACAAATCCATTGGCATTGGATATCTTTAAAAGTTGGGATAATAAAAAAAGAACGTGGCAGGGATACTTTTTTATTTTCTAATAAGACAATTTTTTTTGCCACAATAAAAGAGAGGACTTTAATGTGGAAAGTTGAAGTTTGCCTGTGGTCGAACTTGGGTATGTAATATCGTTGGTGATACTTTTCTTTTTTTTATTGTTTTTTTTTTTCTATAAAAAATATCACTTATGATATGTTTCTTGTGAAAATCAATGACAGTGGGATCTTTTTATAAGGAAAATACCACCAGAGAAATTTTTTTATAATATAAAATTATCACCAAATATATTTTTATATAATTGAAGAATGTCAACAGAGTTATTTTTATAATTGAAAAATATTACCAGTGATATTTTTTTAAAATTTAAAAATATTACTGGCAATATTTTTCTCTAAGAAATCATTTTTCGTAAAATGTTTCTATATGAAAAAATATAAAAATAATCCCATTTATGACTCACTTTTTGAGGAAAGTGTCACCGGTGATAATTTTCTACACATAAAAAATATCAAAGTTGATAATTTTTTTTTCTAAAAAAAATTTCACTGTTTATAATTTTATTTATTGAAAAATATTGGCCCTACAAATTGTGGAAATATCACTACTGATGTTTCTCTATTAAAATATATCACTGGCAATATTTTTCTATAAAGAAAAAAATATATAAAAACAAAAGACATGGTGAAAAGTATCACCTGTGATTTTAAAGTTGACCATTTTTTATCGTAATAAAAAATATCACTGGTGATAATTTAATTAATCTCTAAAAATGGTGATAATATCATCAGGGATATTTTTCTATTAAAAATATTAGGAATGGGTTTTTAATTTTTTTTAAAGAGGTAACTGATGATTTTTTCTTTTGCGGAACAAGGTGAAGATTTGAAGATTATGTGTGAAACTGTTGATTTTTAGAATGGACTGTGTGCGGATGTTTTTAAAAGAATTCTTCAAAGAGGATAAGAGTAGAGTTTTCAAGAGGATAGAAGTGGATTTTTCAAGAGGAGGAGAAGAGACTTGGCGGGGATGTTTTAATGGATTTTTTAAGAGGAGAACCTTGGTTTTTCCAAAGAGAATAGACGTGAATTTTTCAAGAGGAGAACCTTGGTTTTTTTTTAAAGGGACTGGGCGTGGATTTTTTAAAGGATTCTTCAAAGAGGAGAACCTTGATTTTTCCAAAGAGGATAGACATGAATTTTTCAAGAGGAGAACCTTGGTTTTGTCAAAGGGACTGGGCGTGGATTTTTTAAAGGATTTTTCAGGAGCGGAGCCGTCGATTTTTAAGCTTGACATGTCGTGATTTTTAAGGATTTTTGCAAGGAAAAACTGCAAAATTTTAGAGACTTTCCATGGAGAAAATTTGTGAATATTTTGAGGGATCTAGGCTCGGATTTTTAGAATTTTTTAATGCGAAAAAGATGGTTTTATTAAATAATTTTTGAGGAGGTATTTCTGTATTCTTTGCTGGGATAAAACAGATTCAAGATTTTCAAAATTTCGATCTTTTAATGAGAAAAATGTGATATCTCTGCATTTTTGATGCTACGAGCGTTGATTTTTTAAGAAATTTTTGAAAGGAGTAACTCGGGTTTTTTACCCAATAGGGCGGGGTGTGAATTTTTTTAAACCATTTTCTAGGGTATCTCTGGATTTTTTATAAGACAAGGCGTGGATTTATCTCTGAAGTTTATGAAAAGATAAGGAATGGATATTTAAGGTTTTTGTATTTTTTTTCGGATTTCTCGAAGCCTGTTGTATATGTTCTAGGAAATTTCGATGGGATTTCGAACTTTTTGAGGATTTTTGGAAATAATTCACAAACATTTTCTAAATCCCTGATTCTCCCGATTAAGTCTTTCAAAGGCATTAAGAATTTTTTTTCAAATCCAAAACCCTTTAAGAATTATTTTTATACCCCCACCATTCTATGGAGGATATATAAGCTTTCTCAATCCGTTTGTAACTCCTCGAACCTAAAAAGTAAATATATTCTATATCAGCGTAAAATTCTAAGACGATTTAGCAATGTCCGCCTGTCTGTATGTCTGTCTATTCTAATCACGCTATCTTTCGAACGAATTGAGATAGAAGGCTAAAATTTTGCATACATATGTATTTTGCCGGCAGGTTAAGTTTGTAAATGGGTCATGTCAACGTTTTCGTATAGCCCCCATATAACGTTACCTCCGATATTCGGTATTTTGAAAATTTTAGTGGCATTATTCACCAGAATTGTTTCAAATTTCGCATTCGAAGTTTGTAAAGGGTGCTACAGCCTATGCCTAAAAATTTCGTATGCATGTCCACGTCTTCGTATAGCCCCCATATAACGGTATCTCCCTTTATTCGGTATTTTGAAGATTTTTTGCCTATTTAGTAATTTTCGTACAATTGTATTTCACTTTTCAAAACCCATCTCCAACCACAAAAACACCAACAGTAACATCTATATCAAATATCAGGATTTCAGCTCTATTCCTTTGCTCTGTACCAAATTTAGTACTATTTAGTACTTTTCGTACAATTATAGTTGACTTTTCGGAAACCATCACCATATCTCTCTACTCCCTTTCATTTTCAATTAAATCCTTTAATCCGTTACATTCCCCAGCAAATCTCACTTTAAACTCATTAACAGCCCCACAGTTTTGTTAACATGCGTTCGAATTAAAGGACAACAAAAAAACCAGCCAACAAAGCCAAAACTCAAAACTCATTCGCCACCAAGCAATTTGAAAAGATCTAACCATAATGGCACTCTTTGTTAATTGAATTAAAGAGCTTCCTGACTGTTGAGGGCAGAGAGAGTGTGTGTGTGTGTGTGAGAGAGAGAGAGAGAGTAAGCTTGTGTAAAACATTAAATGTTCCAATTGGAATTTATCTCCATGAATAAAACAACAAAAGCAAAAACAACTGGATTTTTTTCGGTTTTGGGTTTTTCGTAACATCAAGAGTCGTCCCCAAAAAAACAGAACAAAAAAAAAAAAAAAAAAACGGACTAACAAAACGTTTCTATATGGTCCCGGCTCAAAGGGCAATGGTGTCAAAATGCACACGCATAATACTCTTCTGAATCCATGCTCGTCGGTCTCTATAGATGATGACGATGGTTATTTGCTACAACTACAACAAAAAAAGTCATACAAATGTTAGCAAGGATCTGGTGACATACGT